CGGGCGCATTCTCCAGCACAGAGTAGCGGCTGGTTTGCGGCGCAAAGGCGTGCGGGCTCACGCGGCTCGTCACGACCTGCCGTACAGACTGAAAGAAGGAAAGCGGCGCGCAGTCTCCAATAAAGATGAGCTTGCCGTGTGCGTCTCGCAAGAGCCGGGCTTCGCGCGGAACTTCGGTGTCGTCCTCCGCTGCCTCGGTAGGCTGGTGATGTGTTGCTTCAATGTTGCGCCTCCCATTATTCATGGTCTCGGACCTCTGGGATGCTTTCGTAGTTGTGATTTGGCGCCTGAGCCGAGCTTGGCCGCGGTTGCGCGCCCTGGATACTGTCCCTTGGCTCGCGTCTCGTTCTTCTACATGCGGCGATGGCCGGCCGCTAGGTCTTGGGGGCGGCTGGTGCTGCAAATCTGGCGTTGGTGACGCCGTACCTGTCGCGATAGTTCCAGGCGGCGTCGTTGTGCCGTGAGCGTCATGCGTCGTCGCCGTGGCATTCCGTCTGCGGCGTTGCGCCGAGTAGTGGCAACTATCGCTGCGGTGCCGTCCTGCGCAGTAGCTGCAAGGGAGTTTACCATCGCATTTGACCTTGCGTGCCTTGCAACCATCGCAGGCATTGCCGATGCGGCTACGAACGTAACGTGGCGACCCGGCACCTGCTGCCTCGTCCATGCGTGTACGTTGAAGCTGCAGCGTGTCGGTTGCCGCTTCGTAGGCGACTTTTCGGAAGCACTGTCGATGATGTCGGCTCCACGTACAAATTTGTGTGGAGACATATCCGAGCCACAGTGTGCAATGGCCGCGGTAGCACTGTGCATCGTCACCATGGAAGCGACAACAGGGTCAGCAACTGATTCATACTCATTTAGAATGATCTTAATATTCTCATAAAAAGTCTCGTGGGTACAAATTATACAATGGAAGAGCAGAAACTAATTTTCTCAGCGCCCTCTGCCTCAAAAGTAATGTCCAAACGCCAGCAGCAAGTTAAGTAATTCGGGGGTTCCACGACGAATAGAGCCCGTCCGCGGCAGAAAAGTGCCATCAAACAAATCAATCCATAACGCCAGGTCGTAATATTTACTTCATCGCAGATTCATGTTCCCTTTGCTTTCTTGTCGACGGAGAGCCGAAACCGGCGCACCGACACTGATAGTGACGCGGCGAGTTTGGTTACCCGTCTGATCTCTTGGGCTGGAGCCCGTACTCTCGAGGCGAACACTACCGCCAAGATTCATCCGCCTAGCCTGCGAAGCAGTGAGGTTGCGCTCCTTCCATTCTGGTGAGCACGACAGAGGTGGATTCCGCTTTCGCTCCAAGCTTCCTCGACGGTGTCGTGAGATACCATTTGTTGAGCTCGCTAGAGAACTCGACACGCTGGGACGAGCCCTTGCACCCTCTACTATGGTTGACCCAACTGAAGACATGCGTCGCGGGCCAGATGCAGTTGCCGGGGCAAGAGCACTCACTCTACGAGGCAGTTCTTTCTTGGCCGAGTTCATAGCATTGCGAAGCTTACGCGGGTCGAGCAAGCTTGATTCGGAGTCGGACCCGGAAGCGCCGGATGATGGAGGGCAGTTCTCATCCACGATGGTCTGCAAAGAGGTCTGAGGGTTGTTTCCATTCCCTTGCGTCAATGGCGGTGGCGACATGTTGCCGCGCTTAGCGGCATCGAGTGATCGGAGGGGCGAGCCGTTTTCCATTTCTGGAGAGCTTGACGACAATCTTGGACCGAGCGTGAGTGGCTGGGGTAATGGTGATCCAGCCGGAAGCATGGAAGGTCGAGACGACTTGCTGAGAAATCCCGCCTGGAATCGGCTGGGCTTTGCAAAGCTGGTCGCCTCGGGGATAATCAATGTTGATTCATCCTCCGTAGCTTGATCGTAGCTCGAGAATCTCAGCTCTTCCACAGGCTGCTCGATAATGTGCGCGGCTTCCATTAGCCTCTCGGGTGACCTGTTTTTAAGATTCTTAGGCGTCTTTTCAAAGTCCTCCAGAGTGCCCTCCTCTGTCTCATCATCACGCCACCTCACGCCACTCTTTTTGACCTTCTTGACTGGTGTAAAAGCGACAGCCTTCTTGGCCGAGGAAAGCACCTTACGTCTTCTCGGCGAAGCCTTCAGAGGGCTGGTGGCGGTATTTTCTGCTGGCTCCGTTGCAGCCAGCACAGGAGCCTCGTAGGGCTTCCCCTGGCCAAAAAGAGAACTCTTCTTCACCGAGCCCTTTTGCAAAAAGGAAGTAGAGTCTCTGATGGGGATAGAACCATCGGGTTTAACGACTTGTGATGCTGAAGAGAAGCCAGTTTGCAATAATTTGATAAAGACCTCTTTTGCGTGTGCTACCGCACTCTGCTCGTCCATAGCCAAGATATCAGAGAGCGAAGTCAGAATTTCGAATTGGGCAGTTAGTAGCATCTGCAGCATTGCTGCATCGCCGACCTTTTCTTGCTCCAAAACTTCGTGGTAAGCCTCACGACCAAAATTTGCCTTGATCAGCTCCGCTTCTCGGTTGAGGTCATTAATCTCTCCAGTATCGGAGCCTTCAGTGGTCTGCAGCTGTTGGATGCTATGGGCCAATGCGGTGTCAATGTGACGCTCCCAAGTTGAGTGCTCGAGCTTTTGATGGATGTGCTGACGGCTATGCTCCAACTCAATCAAGATACCCTGGGCAGTTTTGCGCACGGCAGATAGATTGTCAGGCATCGGGCCCTTGTCGCCCCTTTGCTCGCACACTGCATCAAAAGCTGCAACCCAACCAGTCAGGAGCGAAATCCTTCTCTCAAAGCCTTTAAGTCTCTTCATGTTTTGGATGCGTTCTTGCCTATCAGCGGCGGCGTTATCGTAGGCTGTGCGCAGACGTTGCACTCCTTCCCGAGCCACGGAATCTCTTTTATCGTACTGTTTGCGGAATTTTGCAAAGGCAATCTTCTCGGAGTCTCTCTGTTGAGCCTTGAGCTCAGTGATGAGCGCCATCTGTTCGTCAATTTTGACCAAGAAGTCTTTGACGTGGCGGTTCACGTTGAAGACGTTTCGAGTGACCTTGGTTTGGATATTCTTGGCTCGGTTCGCATAACGAAGTGTGTTTTGGGTCTCGTCAAAGTGGGCGCTAGAAGGAGAAACACAAACAATCATGACGGTTTTACAGTTGCCGCCCAAGGAAAACTTCAACAGTCGTGTGAGCTTGCTGTTGCGGTAAGGGACATGGGCGCGCTGGCGGCGGTCGCAAAGTGCATTGATGCAGCTACCCAAGGCGAGAAGCGACTTGTTGATATTGGCTCCTTCTACCAGACGTTCGCCGCGATTCTTTGTGACGGATGCTCGTTCCGAGCCGGCGAGGTCAATAATGCTGAGTGTCGCCATTGTGTGAGGTTCGTTGAGATCGGCGTTTCGATCTTTTTGAGCAATGTTGACTTGCAAAACGGCATGAGATCGAGAAGAAGTGGCGTTGGCCTGTGTCGGAGATACTGTGCGGTATTCGTTTCCTTGGACAATCATATCCATGACTTCCTGCACATCCTTGGGGTGATGGCTTGTCAAGCCGGCGACGGTCACTGCCTGATTACTGTCTTCGCGCAAAGTCAGTCCAGCTTTGGTGTTGCTGCCTCCTGGAACTAGCAAGTCGCGGATAGTTTCGTTGTAAATTTCCAGGTAGCTCAGGCTGACTTCGGTTGACTTGTCTTGGCTGCGCTCTTCAATCTTTTCAAAAAGCTCTTGCATCGTCAGGAAAATGATACCTGGCGACTGTGGTGTTCCCGTGATGGTGTGCGTCTTTCCGCAGCCCGTGGCGCCGTAAGCAAAAACAGTAGCGTTGTAGCCATCTAGAACGCTGTCGAGAAGGTTCTTGGTTGTGCCCTCGTAGACGTCTGATTGAGTCGTGTTTTCGTCAAAGACACGATCGAAAGCAAAAATCTGATCTTTGACCTTTTTGGAGGCGGGGATAACGGATCGGGAGAATTTGTGCACTGGACTATCCTCGGGTGGATCGAAGACGCTGAAGTGCATGTTAGCTGGAAGGCCGCAAATGAAAGCAAGGCGACTTACAGGCAGCGCTCATCCATAACTTTGATGACATTTCGAATGCCACGCTGATGCAGCTTGGGGGCCGGGGCTCCTGCGAGAGAGCCATCGCCAAGGAAAAGTGTATTGTCTTCGGCTCGGTGACTATGGAGCTGTTATTAGCACGCGGTTGTGGCAGTTGGCACGGGTCATATGTTACACTTGTGCTGCTTCACGAATCGTAAACGGCCGAACGCGAACTGGGGGGTCGTTAACGTCTCGGTAATCTCAGGTTTGGGCGTTACCAGCAACAACTCACTCGCGACCGTGATAGACGACTGCGCATCGGCCATGGTGCTTCGCTCGTCTTGTGCGAAAATCAAAATTGCTGGTTGATGTCGTATAAGACGTATCGAAGTGTAGCCTCAAACTATCGAATCGATTTGACGGACTCGGCACATGAAGAGCGCGTTGAAGGAAAGTGGTGCACAGCAGTTCGTAGTGTGCAGTGTTTGCTGGTCGTCGAGGCAAGAGTATGCAAGGTCAGGAGACTGAAATGCAATAGGGGTTGTGATATGGCTGGCGAAAAAAAAACAAAAAAGGCGAAGGGGTATCGCGGACTGAAGAACTAGAGCGAGGAATAATCGAATTGCCGTGTATTATTAGAAGTTGTATGAACAATAAATGCTTATTCATGCATGTCAGTTCCCAGTGACGTCCTTTGTCTTTGTTGTTTGGTTTGGGTGGTTGTCCTGACAACACACCACCAGGTCGAGCCCCACAATGCCATCAACTTGCATCGCCCCTAGTTAGTTCTGGGAGAGCAATTGAGCAATTGCGGGCATCATCCGTTTTTCCTTGCCATTGTGTCCTGTGCTTGGGAAATTAAGGGTCAAAGACGAAAGACTACTCGTTCAGACGTGGTTGGATGCGTGTAGTTGATGACCAGGTCTCGGCAATTGTCTGCGCTAGGCCCTGGCTTACAACATTGGCTGGTGGTGATGGTTTTGATCAGGTCTACCAAGATTTATTACATATAATAGGAGTTGTGCGGGCACCAAAACAGAAATCGCTAAAAATTACCGGTAGGCGGGCGAGGGGAACCGGATGGATTCATGTAACAAATGACGCAGAATTACGAATTACAGATTGACTACTAAATAAGCCTCATTGTAGTTGGAGCCAGATTGGTGCTGCAAAGGAACTGTTGGCTGCTGGCCTTTCAAGCTTCATGCCTTGTACCTAAATTACATAAGCACCCCGTATCTGAAGCCTAGAACCAGTAATACCGTCAGTACCTGGTAGGTACCTACCTAGCTAGGTAGGGCACAGGCTGCAATTCCAGCGGTGTAATTCGTAATTTGTACAAACTACCAGCATGCAAGTCCCTCTCCCTTTTTTCTAGTCATTTTCCAGAGGCTGGTTGCGGAGCCCCGGGTCAACAATTTAGAGCCCTGGAATTGGAAGCTAGCAAGCACTGGCAGGGCCCAGAAGCTTGACGGTCTGTTCAGATGGCCAAATACAGTGAACAGGCCAGATAATATCAAGTACCCATAGCAAGTAAGCTAATTTGTACTAAGGTACCAGGTAGTAGATAGGTACCTGTTAATATTGGGCTTGGGCTCTCCTGAGCTCGCTCCAGGCTCCGTACTAACCTCTTTAATAAATGTGCCGTTGTGTCGACCCTCCTGTCCTCCTTTCTTCCTTCCCTCCCCCAGACTCTTGCCACTGCTTGCTTCGTCAACATCCGCAGCCATGGCGTCCAAAACTCCTCATCTCGAGGAGAACATCAACTACATCAAGACCCCCAAGCAGGCGCCTTCCGCCTTCGAGGCCCAGGACTGCGGTGTCCCCGTCACTGATGTGAGCTCATTTACCCGCGCCGCCATCGCCCCTCTCCTTCCTTCCAGCAGTAGCTTCGGTTACCGCACACGCTGCGCAAGAAATTTTCGACCTGTCCCTCCTCTCACCGACTCAATTGATTCAACACATACAGCTATTACAGTCAGCCCAACATCCCCGCTAATCTCGCCGTCTCAATATTAGTTCCCGACGATTCACAATGCCCCGCTGCCTGCTGAAGGTCCTGGAAACGAGAGCTTCTCCAACATCGTCCTCGTTGGTCTGTTCATTGCCGTCCCCTGGTTCCTAGCCCGTCTCATTGGTGGTGGCATCAAAACCAAGATTTTTTTCGGCTTGATTACCACCTTGCCCGTTCTCATCGCCTACTGGGCTTTCAAGTCCGCCTTCAGCCCTCGCACCAACGAGAATGCTAAGCTCCCCGGCCGTCCCGTTGAGTCCTACATCACCTTCAAGGATGCTGCCGATAAGGTCAAATGGAGCGGCCGCTCCAAAGTCCCCATCCAGACCTTCTCCGAGATGTACGTTGCCGGCAAGGTCGACGTCAACGGCGACATCCTCGACGTCCTCGAGTACCGCCACGACTGGTCCAACTTCAGCTTCACTCTCGACCTCTTCAAGTTTATCTTCGGCACCTTTGGTCGCGACGTGCTTTTCCACACCAAGGACCAGGATATGGAGCAGATTCGCCCCAACTACGATAACGGCAATGATCACTACGCCTGGTTCCTTGGCCCGCGCATGATCTATACCTCCGGTATCATCTCGGACCCTACCCGGGAAGAAACCCTCGAAGAGCTCCAGGACAACAAGCTGGCCGTCGTCTGCGAGAAGCTCGAGCTCAAGGAGGGTGAAACAATGCTCGATATTGGCTCTGGCTGGGGTACACTCGCCAAGTTTGCCAGTCTCAACTACGGCGCAAAGGTCACTGGTATCACCATCGCTGAGAACGGCGCCGCTTGGGGCAATGATGTTTTGCGCAAGGCTGGCATCCCCGAGGATCAGTCGCGCATTCTCTGCATGGACTACCGCGACGCTCCCAAAGTCAAGTACAACAAGATCTCCCAGATCGAGATGGGTGAGCACGTCGGTATTCGCAAGCTCACTGGTTTCTTCCGCCAATGCTACGACATGCTGGAGGACGACGGTCTCATGTACGTTCAGCTCTCCGGTCTCCGTCAGGCTTGGCAGTACGAGGATCTCATTTGGGGTCTCTACCTCAACAAGTACATTTTCCGTGGTGCCGATGCCTCTACTCCTCTCTGGAATTATGCCCGTTCCCTGGAGAGAGCTGGTTTCGAAATTAAGAGGTAAGTCAATACTACTCTTGTTGTTTTCGCCTTGTTGAGCCTGGAAACTAATCTTATACAGCGTCGACACTGTCGGTGTACACTACTCTGCTACCCTCTGGAGATGGTACCGTAACTGGGTTGGCAACGGCAATGAGATTACCGCCAAGTATGGCCAGCGCTGGTACAGAGTATGTCTACTCCGTCTCTTCCTCTATTAGCAACTTGGACTAATCTTCCACAGATTTGGGAACTATTCCTCGCCTGGTCCGTCATCGCCTCCCGACAAGGTTCCGCCACTTGCTTCCAGATCGTGGTTGCCAAGAACCTCAACGCCACTCACCGTATCAACGGTATTGCCTCACAGTTTGGTCTCTCTGGCGCCCTTGCCAAGAGCAAGGCTGCCGGTAAGAACTCTCTCGCTAATTGAGTAACGCCAATTATGGAGAGATGTCGTTGCAATTACCCTCGGCATGAGAGCTGGCTAGGATAACTCTGTGTTTTGTATACAATGCACTACCAACTACCAAGCAATGAGAAAAGATGGTTGTAAGTCTGTCCAGTAATGAACCAGGCGTGGGACAGCAACGAAAAAGCAAAAGACAATGACGAAAACAATGGCAGGCTTTGTATGGCGCAAAAGCTGGCGAAAAGCAATAGATGAGGCGGGCAATTTTGGTCAACGGCGCTTACTGCAAATGCCCGGATGATGAGAGTCTGTTTATTCGTGTAATAAGGACAGTACCTGTTCAGGCTGTGGGATATTTAGCCGTTTTGTTCGTCTATGAAAAGAGATGAAACGGTATGTATGACAATATATATACTTGTCCATGTACTTGCGGAGCTCCCGTCTCTACCCGTATTTGATCCTGTCACCATGTGAGGCCGTGTCCAGCTTTATGCTTTATGATGAAAATATGTATGCACTCGTTTTGTCATTTTTATAGTACATGAGCTACTTTCTTCATAGAAAAGAGTTCCTGTTTATCCCAAAGTATGAAAACGCCATGGTCCAAGGTATCCATTTCCACCCTTCTCATCATCAAGTCGTGTCGACTTAGTCCGTCACTTATTCACCATGCACGTTTCCTGCCTCTGGCTCCTCTCCCACCGCCACGTACAGCCTACGCAGCAACGGCAGGCTGGTACGCGTACCGCGGCAGCTGTGCCATTCTCTCCTCGGGGCCAATCTCGGCATCATCGTACACCAGCCGCGACTTTTTGCCGTCCTTTTCCTTTTTGCTCCTGTCGGGCTCCGCCGCCGCCGCCGACCGGATCAGCTGATCGATGTCGTCGCCGGCCGTGGCGTGGCGCTGTGGCAGGCCGTCGGTGTTTCCCTTGGGACATGAGGAGTTAGTCCATTTCTAGCAAAAGGCAGGGGGGGCGGGGGGGGGGGGTGGGGGAGACTGGGAAGATGGAAGGAAGCAAAAGAGAACATACAAATTGGGTGTTTGAGGTGTCAGCAGTGAGCGGCGGCAGCGTGCCGGCCTTTTTGTGCGCGCGCCACTCGGCGAGGCGCTGGAGCAGGGCCTCGGCCGTCTCGTAACGAAGCTTCTTGCGGCCATTGTTGAACGACTGGCCGGGCAGCGGGTTGCCGGTCGCCAGGCGGCGGCTCTCCTGCGCCTGGTAAAAGTTTTGGATGATGCGCGTGCGGTGCTGGTCCAGCACCTCCTGCGGCACGCCTTCCATGCCAAAGATTTCAACGTCGAGCCCTTGGCGGTTCGGCAGCGCGTTCTCGACTTGGTTGACGGTTTCCTTGTGCACCTGGTTCATGTGGACGGAGAGACCTGATCAACAGACTCTATTAGCATTCTTCTGCTGCAAATCCCTTCGCGAGAGGACAAATCTGGCGCTCGAGACGAACCTCCGGCGGTGTTTAATCGGCGACCGCATCGTTCGCACTTGAAATGTTTGGCTTTTTGGTGGGAGATGAGGAGCTTCAAGTCTTCGAAGTCTCGTTCGCCTAGTAGTATCGCCAGCGTCAGTCATCAATACCAGGTCGCTTTTTGCAGCTGCTCCTCTTCCCGACGGGGCATCAGATCGCAGCGCTGGGAAAGGATAAGCTTTACAGTAGTAGCACCACGGCCGAGCCAGCACGTCCTCGACGTCGGTGTGGCCGCGTCTCCTCTTGCCCATTGTCGCGGGTTGTCGTGTCGGAACAAGCTATCAGACCAAAGTTTCCGATGTGAGGGATGCAGGATTCGTTCGCGAAGAGGTGTTCGTGAAGCTTCTTTTTAGCAGGTCGTTTTTTGGGCGATGAATGCGGGCACGCCTGGCCTTGCTTGCTCGCGACAATTGGATAAATGAAGCTAACCTATGGCGGAAGAATCTCGGCTGAACCGCCGAGTAGCACGAGAATACGCGTACAAGGAATTTGCACTCTTTCATCACCAACAAAATTCATAAAATCATTTTTATTGAATCTCAATCATTAGGCAGTATTCTTAAGTAATTACTCTCGACGGTTATTCTCCAGTTCGGTTGACTTCGTCGGCGCCCTCATCCAACATCACTCATCAGCCCTCGCCTTGACCTTCACCTTGAAACCCACGGGCCGGTAGTTGAACCAGCCGTCCCTTGCCAGCACATAGTCCTTGTCCGCCGCCTCAAAGTCGACCTGGCGCAGCATCATGGCCAGCACGAGGACGCTGGAGCGCCACGCGTACGCCTTGCCGAAGCATTCCCTCTTGCCGTTGCCGAACCACTTCTTGGCGCCGGGCGGCAGCTTGGCCAGGTTCTCCCCGAGCATGCGCTCCGGCCGAAACGCCTCGGGGTCTTCAAAGACGGCCGGGTCGCGGTTGATGCCGGCCATGACGAGGATGATGGCCTGGTCGTGCGCGACCTGGTACTTGCCGCCCGCGAGCAGCACGGGCGCCTTGTCGGCGGTCGGGATGGGCTCAATGTTGAAGCCCGGCGCGGCAAAGGACAGCCGCAGCGCCTCGTGCAGGATGGCGCCCACGTAGTCGAGCCTGTCCAGGTGCGCGTGCTCGAGCGGCCCGTCCGCCGCGACGGCGGCAATCTCGTCGCGCGCGCGGCGGACGGCCGCCGGGTGGCGCACGAGGAGGTACACGGCCATGGTCAGCAGACACGGCGACGTGCTGCTCCCGATGGCCATTGTGACGACCTCGTCCAGGACCTGCGATGCGGTCAGGCCCACGCCCGTCACGGGGTCCTTGGCCGCCAGCATCGCTGCCAGCATATCCTGCCGGTCCGTGGGGTTCTCCGCGCGGTGCCGGACCACGTCGGCCGCGTACTCGCGCAGCACGCGAACGGCGCCCGCAAACTTGCGCCCGTACAGGAGCGTGTTGAGCAGCGGCAGCCGCGCCGGGCGCATCACCGACTCGGCCGTCGAATCCTCCATGGCCTGCAGCATCGGGTGCGGCGGGCCGGTGAGCGCGCCGAGCCGCTGGCCGAACATCGTCCGCGTCACCGTCTCGAGATCCAGCCTCGCGAGCTGCTCAAACGGCGCAATGACACCGCCGCGTGTCACCCAGCCGTCGAGCATCTCCTGCGCCGTGTCGCGCATCTCCCCGTGCCACTGCGCCAACGCGTCGGGCGCGAGGTACGGCGCGAGGATGCGATGCGCGATCCCCCAGCTGGCCTCGTGGTCGTAGGCCGTGAAGAGGGCATCATGCACGGCGGCGCGGATCTCGACGACCGGTCCGCCGACGAATTTGCGGAAGCGCTTCTCGTCGCAGACCTCCTCGGCCAGCGCCGCGCTCGCGACAAAGACAATGGTCTTGTTGAGGATCTTGATCTGGAAGATTTCGCCGTGCGTCTCGGCCAGCGTCTTCAGCGACGTCCAGGTGTTGCTGGGCTTGATGTCAAAGATGTTGCCCAGGAGCGGCACGCCTTTGGGCTGCGGGATCGGTTGCGCCATGCTGGTCTGTTCGCCGTTGGAAATGAAGTTTATCGGACCCTACAATCTGGCTGTAGAATACTTGGTAGAAAGAGAGGGGAGCTTCGTAGAGGCCGCACTCCTCCGGACTTATTGCTCTTGCCGCAGGGCGTGCCACCCTTTTTGCCTAACTGACTCTCCGTACTCCGTACAAAGTACATTTACCTGCATCGTTGTGCCAGGGTATACCAGCTTCCTGCAGCAGCCTGAGACAGCCTCGCCGCTGGCCAGCATCACCTCGCACATTCATCGTATGTACTCCTTCGCTCCCCTTCCCGCGTCTATACCGAGCATCGGAGTGATCCTCCCCCTTGGAGCCCGCATGGAGCCTGCTTGCATTAGTGTGCGGCAGTAGCTGGGGCCGATATCTTGGATGGCACGGCGGCCCCTCCCGCAACCACTCGCGACGGATCGGCTGTCGATGGATGGCCAATTAGTACCGGGCCGGGTGCCACGTAGCGTGGGCGCCACGCATGAGGAACTGAGCTGAAGTGCATGGGCTGAGACCGCATTATTAGCAACGACGTCTGCTTTATTGGCCGAAGCACAGCTGAAAAAAAATGCCCGCACGTCTCAGACTTATTTGGTCAAGCGTGGGACGAGAATGCCGCGAGGATGCAGACATGGGCAGTTGTGATGTGCCAGCTATTTTCCCTTTTTCGCATCACATTGTTTTTTTCGCATCATATTGCTCCACATGAAAAGTATCAAAAACGCCCCCTGTCACACGTTGCAGTATTCAGATAAATGTTCTAATATAATAAATGTTGATGTAATAGGATCTTGTAAAGTAGTGGTACATTATCATGTACTTTGAAAGTTGTGGTATCTTGATGAGCGCCATTGTAACTATCATTCCTTCCCAAACCAGATGCGCCATCCAAAAGAAAAAAGAAGTTACCCCGGGAAGAAAAGAAAACGATCTTTGCTCGCTCTTGGTTGCCCACGCACACACCACCATCCACGGGCCTCCCACCGCTGCGGCAATCGAAGTATCGCATAGTGTTGAGCTCCGACGCGCCAGTAGTTTCGACATCACATCATACTCACAATCCACGTCCACGACAATCTATCCCGAGGTTGCAGAGTTGTTGTCAAACATCATGATTGGCCACGTCTGTCCCGGCTGGGCCGCTTGGTGAATGCCGCCGCCTGGCTGGCTCAGCGAGTTGCCTTGACCGATGATGAATGATGAATCCATCGGCTGGGTTCCTTGGTGCTGCATCGGACCGCCCCCGAGGGTCAGCAAAGCATTGGCGCTGTAGCGGTCATCCGTATCCGCGATCGCGGCCGTCCAGTCTTGCCAGGTGTTCCCGCGCCCATTCCACATGTACTCGGCTTCGTTGGACGCCGGCATGTGCTGATTTGCGGGAGAGGCGAATGCAATCAGACGGTTGGTGGGCACGGAATCCGTCATCGGTGAGAGATCCGTTGATGGGCTGTTATACAGCATCGCCGCATCAGCCTGATACCCAGCGGGACTCGGATTTTGCTGGCGAGGCCCGTTATATGCCATGGGTTGATAGTTTGGCTGTGTTGCCATCGGTTGCCCAGGAAAATACCCTTTGTTGGTGCCATCTGCGTTCGCAGCATTCACAACATCACCAGCTGGTGCTTGAGTGTCAGCTAGTGTTTGCGTCACTGCCTGCGGCTGAGATTGCTGCGCAGCCTGTAGGGACGTGTGTCCGCTTTCTTCAATATGTGGGTGGGTTGGCTTGCGCGATTGCTTCCGTGGAAGTGAGTCGGAACGACGTCTCCCCTTCGGCTGAGACTTGGGGGGCTGTTTGTTTTTGCCAGAAACTGGCTTCGTTTTCATCCCCTTCTTCTCGTCTTCTTTGTGGTCCATGTCATGTCGAATCCAGCCAAGGGTCCGCTCCATGATTCGCCTGATTTCGTCCGCAATACTCTGTTTGGTACCTTGGAAAACTGTTAGCTGCGTTTAGGGTGATGGATGAAGCAATACACACCAAGAATTGCGCCGATATCTTCTAATATTGACATCCAGCTGGCCATGTCCTTTTGCAAGGAAGAAAACTCGTCCTCTGTGGTTTCAAATCTCTTTTCCCACTGGGCGACCAGCACGGCAAAGATACATGCAGAGGCAAAGGAGACTGTGTACCAAGTTGTATCCAGGCATTTGAGTTGCTGGATTTTTTGTGCAACGCGTAGGTACTCTCTTCCAGTCTCAGCACAAATGCGGGTATTAGCCGCAAGGATTTGCTTGTCTGTGGTCATTGCCACACCGGGATGACGCAGAGATAGACGAACTTCCAGCACATATGTGCGCATGAACAGAGGTGCTAGCGTTTGATAATCCAAGACTGCGTCGTCGGAGAGCCGGAGTGACTTGGGTAATTCGGACTCCCACAGCTCAAGTTGTTCTTCTAGCGCTTCAACAACGGAGAGATAACTTTGCGGGTCGCCTCGAACGCTGTGGATATTTGAAAAGACTTCCATGAAGATGGGTGTGATCTTGAACCCGGCAATGGCAGCCTCAAATGGACAGGGGAGAGTGCGCGACATATCCACTCCTTCGTCACTAAGTAGCTCATCTGCAATCGGCTCTGGGAACTCGGCATCGATTTCCTCGACAGCGATAGGGACAGGATATCCCCGGCGACCAGTGATGGAAACAACGCTCATGAGAATGCTCCACCACATTCGTTTGCGCATCTCGTTCATGAGATTGGTCTTTTCGCCTTTTTGCTGGAATTTTCGATGCAAATTAAAGTCAATGGCACGCTGCAGCACTGCATGCGCAACGAATGATCCGCATCCTAGCTTGGGGAATTGTCTGACGTGAGAAGCCATCAGAGCCAAGGCCTGCACAGCTTCCAGTTCTCTCGATAATAACAACTGGTGCCATTTTGAGACGGCAAAGTGGAAGTGCTTGTTGGAGAGGTCGTTGAGGTGATGGCGCTGGTCTGCTTGTTGCCAGTTTCGCACCCCGTATTGGAAGAGAATGGTCGCAAAGATCATGTGTACCTGTGCAATCTGCGCGGCACTCGGTTGAAAATCCGGTTCATCGTATACTCGCGTAAGCAGTGCCATGAATGTTGGCTGATGGACAACAGGGAGAAAAGCGCCCATAGTCATGAAATACCATTCCGCATAGGTAAAGGCTTCCTGCCGCGAAGGCAAGTCGACCTGCACAGGTGGGTTGACACCCGCCGTGGTCTGGAGAAATGCGTGAGAGGATTTGTTGTAGAGAGGCGTCGTGTCGGTAGGATCTTCGGGCTCATCAACATCTGCGATGGGGAATGAGCTCGTGTCAATGGTCGTGCCCAGGAAGGTGAGCTTGGTGCCTCGCATGAAATTGAGTGGCGCAACGTTGCGGCCCGCAAGGGTGCCTTTAGACTCTGAGCGAGTTTCGAGCTTGCTGCGCGGGAATCGTGGAGAATACGAGGGCTTTTTCGTATAATTCTTGACCCATAAAGATCCTACCTGCGCCCAGCCGGACGGCGGAGACTCGTGGGACGGCTGCTCGGCGGTTTCGGCGGTTTCGGCATCGGCATCGGGGCTAGACTTTTCTTCTTGCCAGGGTCGGACCTGGAGTCCATTCTCTAACAAAAGATTTTCGAGCTGCCGAATATGCGATACCATGCCATTTTTATCGCGTTCCAGCTCTTGCATGTAGCCACGGCGTTCGGTGCGTCCAGAGACCCTGTCGGTGACGAAGCAGTCGAGATTTAGGTTTATGCAGTGAGAGCAGCCCTCGGGTAGGGCATCGCATCGAATCTTTCGAACCTGTAGAAATATGGGCGATTAGCATCTGTAAGACAAGGTGTGACAACAATGTGTGACACAATATGCAGGGCAGACGGCAATGGGCCTGCAGCGGCAACGTACCTTGCATCGGTCGCAGGCCTGGCCAGTGCGTGTATAAGACTGCAGGCGGTTCTTGACCACGGACGAAAAGTCTTCAACGCTGCGCTCGACGCGAGCGACCTTGGATCTGGCGCCGTTCTGGCTACCGGTGGCCGAGTGCGCCGGGCTGTCCTCGCCGCTGCTCTCGCCGCGCTCGACCGGCCGCTTGGCTGATGGGCGGCCAGACATGGCGGAAGCGGCGGCGGCGGCGTTCGGCTTGTTCCCTGCGGCGCAGGAGCGAGGCGAGACGCCGCTGCTGCTGCCCGTGGAGCTGGGCGAGGTCAGGGCAGCAGTGCTCACCGAGTCGCGCGCGCTGAAGCAGGGGCCGATGCTGCACTGCGACGAGACGGTGCTCGCGGCGGTCGAGGAGCCAATGGACTCGCGTGCGGCGGCGGCGGATAGTAGCGCAGCGGCGCTGACGTCGACGGTGAGACCGGCGGGCACAAACGGTCGAGGTGGTGCGGCCGACGGATGCGAGGGGGGCGGCGCGGCGGCGAGGTTGCCAATGGCCTGGCCAGGATCGGCAAAAGGATTCAGGTCGGGAGGCCAGGCGAGTTGTTGAAGAAAGGAGGAATCGACGCTGAGCGAGGATGACTTGGGGGCGGCGTTGGAGACGACGAGGCTGTGGCAGCCGTTTGGCGGAATCGCAGATGGTGCGAAACATGAACCGGCTGAGCCCACACCAACACCCACATCCACTACCAGGCCGGAGCGAGGGTCGACGACGCCCGAGTCTAAATCCATGGCGGCGCCTTTGCGGGCGTTTTGCGGGCGCTTTGCGGGGGTGGCACACTGGGTAGCGTACAACAGACGGCGCTATAAATACCTGAGGTAGGAGGTACCTTAGTGCCTGTAGAGGTACAGGTGCAGCGTCTGGTCCACTGCAGGCGAGCTGTTTGGAACAACCAACCCCAGGCCGGATCAAGAAAAATAATGATAAATGCAATCAAGAAAAGCCTGTCAATTGCACCAGTGGTACACCCTGGGAGCTTCATATAAAGTACCCCTGGGCTCTGTCTGTAGCAGTATGTGTCTGCGTTGTGGTCGTGTTTGTGTCACTGCCGTTCCAGACTTGAACGATGGGCTGTCTTTTTCATTATCAACGTTCCAGAACGAAACCGCCAATTCTTCTTCCGTCCCTGGCTCTCTTTAAATACTCATTCTCTATTTTTGTCTTTGACCCCATCATCTCGCCCAGCCATGCCATCCACGCGGACAGAGCGATAATCGTCATCTTTTGCCACCCCGAGCGTGATGGCTTCACGGTTCGCTCCCAGCGCGTACCCCGGTCAAAGCTATTCTTGGTCAAATCGTCATTCGGTTGGCCGTTGATATCGGTACGCCAGGTACTTGGCCATGTCTAGCTTGATCATCGTGACGGATCGGCCGGTCTCCCCTGTGGCGCTCCCATCGACCCGAGCCTCCAGAGAGGGCCTCAAACGGGGTTTCCCGCCCCGGGCCCCCCGTATTCCAAAAATGTACGAACCATTGTCTTGGTCAATGCCAGCTACTGTTCCATGTCTTGTTGAGAAGCACCTCTGCTTGCACATCTCGCTGCCAATCTACCCCAGCGCTGCCCGTGAGAGCCGCAGCACTTACACGCAGCTATTCGCAACACGCAGCCAGACTACATACTATACAGTATCCTAGCTGCCGGCAAATTGCATCATCTCCTTTATACCGAGACTTCATTTCTATATTTCTATCAAGATTCAACAAAGCATCCTCACCCCCTTGCTCATGCTGTTCCTGGGCTTCAGCCTTGTTCGCACGTGGTAGCGGGTACGTTGAAGCCAACCCACGCGAAATGACCTCTCCTAAACCGAATCGTTGACGACACCAACTTTCTTCACCGTCATTCATTTAAGGTTCGTTAACTTATAACAGCATCTAGATCTTGGTGACGGACTTTGCCTAGTTCCTTGCTAGACTGGCGCCATTGGAGAAGTACTTGCACTTCACGCTCTAGTAGCGCTAGCAAACAGTACCATGTTCTAGAAGCCTTTGAAAGCGTCAACGCTACATTTGGCTCGGCGAATGAGGATTAATCCATCCTATCAAGGTTTCATTATTAAGTTAATGTTAATCCCTCCCTACGCCTTCTCGTGGTGTCCGACAAGACACTTTGTGCCTACTCGCCAGGCGCTGCCAAGGTGTAATTTCGTCGAGATTCGGTACTCAAGATTTCTTATCATCAGACCCTCATCTTCCCGGAGAAAGCGAGAATGTATATTCTCCTTTACTGTCTCGTGATTGCTCTTCCTGCAACTGACTAGGGTTGGGATATGTGCTATGGGCGACATCCTCAGTCGACAAATGCTGCGATAAGGAGCATCGATGCATCATTCTAAATCTCACGATAAAGCTCAAAGCATGATTCATTTGAGATTCTTGATTTTAGGGTTTTGTTTTGTAATTTTTGTCATCACAACGCCCAATTGCAGTTGTCCGCCCCTTCCTTCATTCATCCATTGAAGCTGGTGGGCTTACAGGCAGTAAATGATAACTGCCATGGAAGCGGACTACAGGCATTTCCTTTCCGAGGTCGAGAGGAACAAGATTCTCAAGAAACGTGTGATTTCTTTTTGAAGAACCCAAGCCCGCAAAAGGACTGTGTAAAATGACGCTGGCTTACTTTGCGGCTCCCAATGGCAGCAGGCAGCATCACCAGGCAGAACGCAGAAAAGGGTGTTGTCTCTAGAGGCTAATTATACTTGTATTAGAGTGACCACCATGTGACAGGATGACAGGATGAAGGATCAAGCTCCAAGCCATGCTTGCTCCGCTATAGTCTGTAAAGAAAGCGCTCCATCAGGAAGCCTGCAAGCAGGTTGCAAGTGAGCGATTTCCGGGAACAAGCTTTAGTTCTGTACGATACAGCTGTGCTCTCAAATTTCGCAAGGTTATTCTGGAAAAAAAAGGAAAAAGGAAAAAAATATGCTGGCATCTACGCCGACTACTTGACTTGCAGCATGTCGTGGACCCCGCATGGAGGGGAAGTTTTTGCCCCTCATCAGTAGCCAGACCCTCACATTATTTTCGCGTCTAGGTCTAGCAGTTACAACTCCGTCTCGCAAACGCCAGCCAAAATACAGCAGAATAGAACGTGCGCCAAACTAGCAAATAATTCCATCATGGAACTAGAAATCGTCAAACTCGAGCATCTGCCCGACACCTACACCGTCCACGTCGCTCTCTTTCAGGACGTGAAAAACGCCGCATTCCTGCACGAGCAGCTTTTGGCGCGCAACACCGACTTTGAATACGCCTTCATTGATGCTTCCGTCGTATGTCCGGCCCCTCTTGCCGCTCACGAACTTTCACTCGTCATTTTGGCTTGATAAAGCATTAACCGTCTTCATTTCGTGACAGGTCGTGTCCAGAATACAGCTGCTTTCTGCCATCTTCAAAGCTGCCAACGCGTCTGTTAATGGCGCACTGCAAACTCCCAACGTACACTCTGAGACGGTCGTATCTCTGAGCTCGTCTAAAAATGTGAGGAATCTGACTCTCATGGCCCATTCGTGCATTGTCTCTTGCGGCTTCTAACGCGGCGCAGATTGCGGAGGCCTATCGCCGCTTCGGCATTTCTCCCACGACCAAGGACCTTCTTGTCGCCAAAATCACATTTCCTACAGAAGCACAGCCAGAGCCGGCAGCAACTGAATCAATAGCCAAGCACCTGCGTCAAAATATCGAGGGCGACTATGTGCCCGTCACGGATGAAAACATCACCGCTTGCACAGACATGACCAAGGTCCGCAAATACTACAAGATCAACGGCATCAACTGGCTGGACGCTCTTGAGAACACTCAAACCAAGCAACAACAAATAGAAAGCTTGGTTCTCGGATCCATGGCTTTGAGGGGGGTATAGGATATGGGCCGTTGCAAACACTGGCAGCAGCAAGATAGGTAATTATTATTTCTCTTGTCAATTCATCAATCATATCCTTGGGATATATGTGGGCTAATCTCTATCTATTTTCCTTTCCAGATAATCCCTGATTGCCTTTCTAAACTCCTGAAACCATGGTGAAAGCAAATAAAAAACAGCGCTATGATATGCGACAGTCGGCATTAATGCGCAGAGTATATGCAAACAAGACAAATAATCAACGGCCCTTGCCGGATCATTTAAGCAAGACTAAAAGTAGCCTTGCATCGGCGAACAAGTTCAGCCCACATGGCATCGCGACCGCTGCGTGTGCGACCGACGGCGTCCTTGTTTTCGTTCGCACGTCGTAGTAGGTACTTCATGCACTCGCCGGTGCTTCCCCAGACAAGGTACTTGAAGACGGGAAGGTCGGAGGCCCTGTTAGCGTTGCCAGCCTCGACAAGCTCGCAGCTGACCTCATCAGCCATGCCCTGAAGCTGGGCAAAGGCAACGCCCGATTTGGCACCGCCAGCGTCGCAGATGGCGCGGGCACGGCGGACAGATTCGACGTTGTGAGTGGCAAGAACCACGTGGGCGTCGGGGAATTCACCTTTGCCCTCAATCATGGGCCCCCACTGGCGGGTGAGGACACCAGCCGCAATACTGTTGAAGCAGGCATCGGTACCCTCCTGACTCTCCCAGAAGCAGTGGCGGGGGTCAGAGTTAAGGTAGGCGCCACGAACCAGCTTGACACCGAGGCTGAAGCCACCCTCCTTCGCCTCGGCCAGGTGGCGCGAGATAACGGCGGGGGTCTTCTTCTTGTACGTCTGGTAGGTGCCATAGACGGTAGCAGTCTCGGGAGAAGTGTTGTACTTGCGGGCAAAGGTCATGGTCCAGTTGTCGATGCCATCCTGAAGTGCATCCTGTTCAGCGTCGAAGAGAAGACGAACACCGCGCTGCTGAGCCAGAGCGCAGATGGCGTCAATAGACTTGTACAGGTAGGGGGAAGGCTCGCTGTTCTGCGAAAGCTGATACAGGGCTAGGCGGCCGGCACCAGTGAACTTGAGGGCGACGTAGTCACCGGGCTCAGCGAGGGTGACAGTCTCGAGGGTACCAAGAGCCCAAGGGTCGATCTCGTTGGCAATGTCGGCAGCAGTCTCCTTTCCTTGATCCACGGCGGCAACAGCTTTGGCCTGGTCCTCGGTCAGGACAACCTCTTTGGCATAACCGAGAATGACGCCGCTGAAGCCAATGTTCTTGAGGCGAGCGACGGTAGCCTGGACTTCGGCGGGTTTCTCGCCAGCACAGAATTGGGCGTAGAAGGTCTTCTTGAGGAAGAAGCGAAGAAGGGGGTTCTTGTCGGGGTTAAGGATGGGGTTTTGGGTGTTGGCGAGAAGAGACATGATGCGGAGCGAAGGCGGGAGGAGAAAGGGGGAAGAAGAGACGACTGTTGTGAGGAGGGAGCGGAGAATCATGGCCAGCGGCAGAACCGACAGAGGAGCGCTCTTGGGTTCAGAGCTGGGTGGTTGAGTGGTAGGGTCGACGGCGGGCAGCTCGGCAAGAGTGTTGGTTCGACGGTCCGAGGAGCTAATGGCCATGCGCTCAGAGTTGTGGATGGAACGGCGCTGGATGTTGGCCGAGAGGCGGCTCCTATGATTGAAGCCGACGCATGCTGGCGACAAGACGCGGACGGAAGAGACTACAGAAGGCAGTGCTCGGTGCAGAGGCAGGCAGGCAAGCCCGCGTGCAGGGGCGGAGGGCATTGCACTCTTTGTATTTGTTGAGTTGGAAGAAGGATGCTTTCGAGTTGGAGATGGCCTCAACAGCACGTTTTTGGTGTGGTGGTGGGTGGCTTCGGAAGGGTGGTCCGGGGCGACTTATGGCAAGGGGGGTGTGTTTGACGATTGTGGTTGTGAAAGAGTTGGTGGCGAATCGAGTTTGAGATGAGATGTTAGCTCAGGCACGAATGGAAATAAAGTAGTTATCGATGAAGGAGGAAAAAGGAAGGAGGGACGGGAGCACGGTGGTGGGAGGGAGGGCTATCTGTTTCTTATATGATTTGGTTGTGGTGTACGACTCACGATGGTCCGGGGGGTGGGCATGACTGGGCAGGCGCCGACTAAGAGCGAGCGCGAAACGCGGACGAGCGACCCGGCCGGCGAAGACGGACATGGCAGCAAGTTGCCCCATTATCGGCCCAGCAAAAAACAGACATCGTGACCACGGGGACAATGGGTTCCCTTTTTCTCCAGTATTACCAATTCGCCGTGTAACTATTATTATTACACACTTTTTTTCTTCTTTGCTCGCACGCCACCCTCTTCCTTTGGCTAGTCCTTTTGCGACGCCGCTGACAGAGTCTGTTCCTGATCTACTACGCCCAGTTACACCCTCACACACGTATGTATGTATGTAGCACAAAGAAGCCAAAGAACCCCGGCAACTCCGCAAGATGATTGAATCAGAGGGGAGGAGCTAATCTCGGGTTCGAGATAGCCAGGATCCAAGGAAGCCATGCGACGTCCCCAGGATTCCGATAACGCCGGGGAGGCCAGTCCGCGGGCTCGAGCTTTGGTGGGAGTAATATGTGTCAGAAGAACAGCCTAGGCCCTTGCATCTCTTGTCCAGGCATGCTAAATAGTATTCGCGACCGACGCAAAATAGTACAGGACAGGGGGGGGTGAGATTGATTGGCGACAGGCTCCGGGGGTGTGTGGCGTCGCCCGAGCGGGCTAGAAGACGCCTGGAACGCCTGGGTTTGCTCACGTGGAGGCTTTTTGTTTTTGCTGCCATCGCAGCGCGGCTATGCATGGTTGGACTGATGAAGCATCATCACACACCACCATTGGGGAACAACAGTGTGAATGGTGGAAATGGCCCCCTCCTCAAGTCCAGTTCCCTTCCTCTTGTTCTTTTTTGTGCGCGTCATGGCCGTTGAATTGGCACAACCAGTCCAGTCCATCACCCAACTGGCCGTCCCGCGTGTAGCCGTCGCAATGGGTCTCCGAGTTTTGGGGGTGCATTGAGAAAAGGCTTATCTCCTGGTTGCTGGAACACGTCCGATACGGTGTTTTCGGGGCCCATGCCGTCTCCGACAAGGTGGAGGGAGGCTTGACGGTGGCAAGGTGGCTGGCGGTCTCTTGCGGTGTCCCGTCCGCTGCTGCATGTCCGAGTCTGTTTTCCTTGGCAGTGAAGCCCGTCGTAGCCGTGCAGTGGTTCTCGATAATAACTACTGGCCTCCCTGCGCTCCGCCCGCCAGCGATGAAAAACAACCCGCGGCAACGATAGATATGCGGGCAAGCAAACATGTCAGCCATCTTTTCTCAGAAGTCGTCGCAACTCGCTCACTTCTGTGAATCTGCGAATCAGAAGCCTAGCATCGGCAGATGGCTTGCATCGCTGTCTCATTTTCCCCAACCCATGAGAGGCAGCCCCGAAGCGCACACCGTGCGTCTCATGCCATCGTTCCATCACGGACACCCCTTCCGACGCCTTCTAAAGTAGTTTAGCTCCCCCCCCCCCCCCCCCCACGCCTTTTTGCCAACAAAATCACTGTCTCACAACCAGGGCCGAGGCCAACTGTGTGTTGCCTCAAACTGCATTGCTTACGGGGTAATGACAAGTTGGAAAAAAATAAGCAAGTTATTAAGCTCAGTACTCCGTAGATGATACCAGAATCCGGTTTCACTATTTTTATCCTTGTCCTGGTCGCCTCCCATTGATGTCTTTACATAGCTGTATTCGACTCACTATCCGTAATTCGTCCGTCCGTACGAAAATATTAAACGTCTCTGATGTCGGCGCTACAACTTGCTATGGCTGTGATTACGCGTTGGTGATTTTTCAGAGGCACTTTGGCGTCCACTATGTAGTTATTATTAGTTAATAATTTACCAGGTAGGCCAAGTGTAACCATCATGAACCGCCTCCCACATGCAGCCACGTCTCTTTGTTCGCTCGTGAGAAAACTTTTACTGGCGGGTCGCCTTGTTTTTCTTTTTCTTTTTCTTTCCGCTGTTAGATCATTCGTGTTACCTAACGCTCGCAACAACAGCTCCAAGCCTTCCCTACTACGTGTTCATTCGTACGGACACGGTAGTCACAAGTCGCAATTCCAGCAGGATGCGGTGGCGTTTCGCCCTACCCAGGCATGCATAAGCAATCTCGGCTTGTAATAGCGACAGAGGAGAAGGCTTGAATAATTAAAAAAAAAGAAAAGAAGTTGCGGATATTATGTGAAGATATACCCTGGACCGCCTTCATTTATCATACAGGTTATAGAAACAAACAAGCAAATGCCAAGGAAAATAGGGTCGCTTTGGTTCCTAACCGAGGGCCTATAGCAGGTATGTGTCGCCCGAGAAATTGTGGTGCGGAAGGGGAGGGGGCCGGCCTAGGAGCACGCCCAGCAGAAAACTCGAACTATCGTGAACTCCGGCCTTGGAGTTTTGGTCTTTTGCCTTTGCTTTCCGACCTTTTGGGCCAGGTGACCTGAAAGTGGAGGCCGCTAGGCGGCAAAGCATGCAACAGGTGTGAGAAACCATCCGCTTTGGGAGCTTTGTGCGCCGATGTAGGCGATGGGGATCTCGGACCTAGTTAACAAGACGCAGCTGAGCTCGGCCCCAGCCCGGAGCCCTCGCGGACGCCCGGGACGGAGGTCCGATTGGTCAGACGTCGAATGGCATCCACATAGCCAACCCGACGCCCACGGGCGAGCGCCGACACATCTTGCACGCCCCCGTACATGATCCCAAACAAAAACCCGTATCGTGCGGTACGCGCTGCTGCCGATAGCGAGAATCGATCTGATGATAAACAAGAAAGTATTAGCATGTTTGTCGTTGCTGCAAATCATCATCTCACATGCGCCCCCCACCCAATGCCAGGTGCCTTTTTTTTAATCCCATGACCAGGTGGCGCCAAAGCAGACGAATAACTTACGTGTTAATGAAAACATCCCCGCCACCGACACCGTCGCTACTATCGTCGACAGCATGTCACTCTTTCCGCGCATGCGGTCGACCGTTGTCTCCAAGCTGAGTGCCGCAAAGCTCCAAAATCCCGTCTTGGCCGCCATTCGGAATCCCTCGCGGATGCCGCCTTGCATCGCATGGTAGTTTTTCGACTTGTGGTAAAAGTACCAGCCCGTCGTCGTGTCTGGCATTTTGTGAGCATGCTCCGCCCGGAATCGTAGCTGCGCCATCTGCCCTCCCTGGAATCCACCCAACATGAACCCAATCATGGTCGACGAAAGTGTTCCAAGCAGGAGTCGTGTCGGTGCGAGCATAGACAGGCGCATTGCGTCCGAGGACACGGGCAGCAACTCTGGCGGTGATTGTGTTGCCGCGGCCGTGGCCGTTGTCTTCTGTCCTGCCTGACCATCTCGGGACAAAGATGTAAATGCATCACGCCTGGTCACTGTATCGGCCGCCATCATTGGTCTTCCTGCCTTTCGTAGACCACGTATCTTCCGATTTGTTGATTTCCCCTTTTCCTGGTGAGTGAGTGATGGCGCTGTTTCGTTCCCAACGCACCCGATGGCACCACTTGCAGAGCGGTACCGGAGTCGTGTCTCGAGAACCTTGACTGCGACAATATGACCCCAGTGTCACGAAATGGCCCCTTTGTTAGGGGACAACCGTTGAACGATGTTCAGCTTAATAGCTTGTAAGCTTTTGTGGGCTGTACAGGGCCAATTAATAATGTGCTCCTTTCCTTGCAAACACTTGGGTCACTGTCAGAAGCTTTGCGAGCAAGTGTGAGATTTGCGCGGAAGCACGTGATTTCGTGACATCTATCAACGCGGGTCAAATCTTCTGCACACACCAACAGTATCAGCGTTAAAAAGATCCCGGTTATCTCTTCTGAAACCAGGAAAAAAACCTCAACTCGACCCTGCTTCACTTGTGCGTCATGGTACGTAGATTTTAGGTCTTTGACAAATTCTTACGCCGCCTTCCGCTAACGTAGGCGCAGACGGAGATAGACGACTCGCACCTCTCGGTGCGCTTCAGGCATGGTGTGCACACGATTTACCTCTTCGTTGATTCGCAAGCTCCATTTTCGCATATCAGCAGTGAACTTGCCAGCATTCTACACGAGCGCTATCCTCGGGGGCTCACAACCAGTCTCGAGCCGCCCACGACAACAGTGATCCCCGCACAGCCCAAGTTTGTCTATGGCCTCTTGAATAAGCACGATGATCCTTCCCATGGCTGGAAACGTATCAATGTTGGGCCGGATGAGGGATTTGCGCCTACAAAATGTGGCCTAAAGAATAACAGCCTTGTAGCTTTCATGGTGCAGGATGACGGCGACGACCCGGATGACGTCGTCTTTCAAGTGGAGTGGCCGACCGAGGATGAAGAATTGTACGAGCAGGAGCTATGATGTCACTCGGAGATGATGGAGTGGTGATAGAAAATAAGCATCAATTTCCGGGCTTTATTAATATGTAAATTCCCCAGGCCGCGGAGCAACGTCCGATCACGGCTCTGTAGTGGCGTGTCTGACGTTGCCCGAGTTTAGTCCGTTGGTCACCTGCCAACATCGTCATTCGCATTTGTAAACTTGCCACGACTGCGCATTACACCGGAACACTGGGATGGCGGATATGTTCTGATTTATCCCCGGGGAAGACGCCCTTAATAACCTAGAGGTATCTTCTAGTGAACTTACGACCGCTGAGGAACCCTTTTCTCTTGGTCCCGGGTAAGCCAGCCGCGGTCCTGATTCAGAGCGTGACACGACAAAGACTGAGACCCAGTCTTTCTACCGCGCAGACACAACATCTTTACAACCAAGAACCAGTCAAGGGACCTGATTGTAAAATGGCAGATGGGAGGACATTCTCCGATAACAAGGAACTGGATTGCAACACAGCAACGCGCCGTTGATAGTTTACAGTAGAGCCGAGGTCGCGTTGCATGACTAAGCTGAAATATGGCAATCGATAGCGGCGATGCCCTCACATGCCTACCCCTTTCCCTTGCGAAAGTTATTCCACCCCCAAATCAATTTATTAGACTTTCCTTAACCACCGACCCTTTCGCTTCTTCAACCTGGCCAGCTGTGCTGACCATACTTTTGCTCGTTCATACATGCAGCCGGCTACATGTTGGTTGCGTCGAGGTTGCGCAATGGCCTAGGCCTGCTGGTGCCTTTGACGCTGGCTTGTTCGATCTACCTTTATTTTTACCCATTCTTCGGGCAATGCGCGTTCCCCCTACCGTCGCGAAACGCAACCGAAGCATTCGAGGGGACGAAGAAGCTCCATTGGCCCTTTGCTGACGAGGAGTCACTGTCCAACTTCCCCACGAAGCAAGCTCCCTTTCGACTACTTGCCCTCGGCGACCCCCAGCTCGAAGGCGACACCTCCGTCCCCCTCGCCTACGCGGGATTCATGCCACATGTTCCTCTGCTGTTTAAGCAGCTGACGTTTCAAACATGGCACCCATCTCTCAAAGAGCGTATTCGATGGTCCATTCACGACCTCGTCGACATCTTCTTCGATGACATACCAAACATTTTCGAGTCCGCGCGCAAGGTCTTTGACCTTCTCGGCAACGACTTCTACCTCGCCCACATCTATAGAACATTGCATTGGTGGACGCAGCCGACGCATGTGAGTGTCTTGGGTGATCTGCTGGGGAGTCAGTGGATCGAGGATGACGAATTCGAACGACGAGGCGACCGGTTTTGGAACAGGACATTCAAGGGCGGAGAGCGCGTCCCAGACGAGGTGGCCATGTTTCCGGCCGAGCAATACAACCTCACTGGGTTCCTAAATGGCTCACCTGAAGAAGATATTTGGAAGAAGCGCATCATCAACGTCGCCGGCAACCATGACATTGGTTACGCTGGAGACTTGACCGAGGAGCGCCTCGAGAGATTTGAACGCATCTTTGGCAAGGCCAATTATGAACTGCGATTCGAGCTTCCCGTCACCGACCCAGAGCATAATGCGACCATCCTCAACGAAGAAACGAATCCAGACTCCAAACGTTTGGCGCCCGAAATACGGATAGTTGTCCTCAACGACATGAATCTGGACACCCCCGCCAAATCAGTACCGCTACAGGACGAGACCTACAAGTTTATTAACTCTGTCATTGGAACATCAGCTGCCGTGGATTTTGAAGGACATTTCACTCTCATCCTCACACACATTCCAATGTACAAGCCTGCAGGCATTTGTGTTGATGCCCCATTCTTTGACTTCCACAGCCAAGCTGATGGCGGTGGCTTGAAAGAGCAATACTTGCTAAGCGACGATGCTAGCAAGGGCCTGCTAGAAGGCATATTTGGTGTTAGTGGAGATACGAATGCTCCTGCTAATGGGCTGGGACGCAGAGGCTTGGTGATGAATGGTCATGACCACGAAGGCTGTGACACGTACCATTTCATGAATCAGACGAACGGAACAAATTCCTACGAGCGATCTTGGGAAACAGTACTTTGGAAAGACGCCAAAATGTTGGACTTTCCCTCGATTCCTGGCCTGCCAGGTCGTCGAGAAATCACCGTACGCAGTATGATGGGTGATTTTGGCGGCAATGCCGGTCTCTTGAGCATGTGGTTCAACTTTGACACTTGGGAGTGGGAGCACGAATATATCGACTGCCCGCTCGGTTCCCAACACTTTTGGTGGCTCACCCACTTCCTACTATTTGGAACTATTGCTTGCGCCACTTCCTACGCGGTAGCCGTCATACTGAGCGCGAATGGTGTAGATGTTGATGGGTATTATGAAGTTACCGAGAAGTGGGTTCGGAATCAGATCCTCGCTTACTGGGCAGAGGCAAAAGCGAAGCTGTGTCACAAGCCTTTACACGATGACAAGGCACAAGAGAAGAGCAGACCCGACCCGGGCCAATGAATATGATTGGAAAAGTTACACATACATAAGCATATAGATTAATTGAGCGATAGCATTAATTGGTCCTCTGGCGAGCAGTCGCCAGCGTTGCCCTGCGCTTGACGGACATTCTAGGATGTGCGCCTGAATTCCGAAATAGACTGGGTGCTGTGTACTCAAAACTCAATGGGCAAACAGGGCAAACACTTGCGTCGTATTATCATCTTGGGCAAACTACTCTAGCTGCTATCAATCAAGATTGACGACGTCACGAGGCTATTCAGTACGCTTATGCAAAACACCAAACGCTCCTGTTATGTTACGCGTCCTAGGAACTACGCAAAGCATGGAGTAAACTTCCTGCTGTCCCCTGAATCTGACGGTCATTGCGTCATGGAACTAAAACAATACATTTCTGCGCGCAGTACCTAGTAATGTACCTGGTCGAAAAGTTCATTTGATGCATCGCCTAGCAATTTGGGTCGGTAACCGTCCTTGATTGAAGGCGGTGCAACGTGAAAGCGTCGGTTGCTATTTGTTGCTTGGTCAAGTGCCACATACTCGGTAGGTTGTATCCCAGATCCCCCAGGAAGCGCGTTTGTTTCTGCTTGCTCTCATCGAACCACCCGTTAAATCGCTCCAAGGATGAATATGGCAGGTGTATCTTGGTTTTCGGAGCTACATGCCGTTCTCCGTCCGGTCTCACCTGGTGATGGAGGAAGTCGCTCTGCGGCCGATGACGGACACTGCAGGTGCAAGCCAAACCAAGTTGTTGCTTGGATACAAATAATTATATAAATCAGAGCTGCAAATGGTTTCTTCATCTTGCATATAAGGACCAGCACGACCCCGAAGACCTTTGCCCCGAAGCATACAGCCCTACCTGGCTTCACAACAAAACACATCACGACCCGTCATATCTCATATACACATTCCTATTTTATCATTACAATGCATAGATTCTCACTCAACGTGCTGGCGCCAGCCCTGCTATACTCTCATGGCGCCCTGGCTGTGGAATTTGCCCAACTTGCCATCGGATGGTGTCTTGATCATCCGGGAGCGGAGGCTGGGTAAGTTCATCACTTCGAAATGTCAAGGACGAAAGAATCTAACGTGTGCTTTTCAATCTACAAGATATGCGCAATGTATCAGCAAGATTGTCTGCAAAGCATCTGGTCAGACAGGCAGCACCAACCCTGACGCTGTAGCCTGCGTGTCATACGGCGAATGTGATTGTTCCCGATTCAAAGACGACGGTAGTAATGAGTATGTACTCCTGGTGCTCAAAGCTCAATATAGATCTTTAACCACTCACCCCGTGTTTAGGTATTTCCAGTGCATCTCAAATCCGAATTGTGCTGCGTGCACTTCACCCGATGCAACGCCTGCACCCCCAGCATCTTCAATTTACGGACTTGAAACCGTCGCTCCAGGCACCTACTCGGTTACATTTGACGGCACCATCAAAACTGTCGTTGTACCATCTCCGACTGCCACCACAACAGAGTTGATTACGGTTACGGCGATGTCCACCTTGACTCTGACTATCACGCAGGACCCTACAACAAGAACAACCCGTGTACAGACTTCTACACACAAGACCACAACCTCGACTCTTCCAACTCAGACAACCGCAGATACGACTGGAAGCACAGCGCCTGTCCCAACAGCCCCGCCAACGTGTCCGTCGTATTGTACGTGCGAGCCAAAGTACGGATATCCTGATACGTAAGTCCTTTCCACAATTTCACGCGATATACCTTGTTAATCCATATAGATATGAAAACTGTCTCCAGCAGCCTGAGTGTGCTGGTTGTGGAATCCCATTCCCTCCGTTGCCCGATCCTGTTCCCGAGCCCACAACATTCTGGAAGAACTCGACCACGACGTCTTCGACCAAGCCGACCCCGTCATGCTCTGCTTCGTGCGATTGTTCACAGATCAAGGACAAAAGTAGCGATGCGTATGTACTCCGAATGACAACTAGAGCTTCCCTGCTAATGACTCATGCAGCTACTTCCAATGCATCACTGACCCCAACTGTGAGCGTTGTCTCATCGGAGGTAGACAATCTGGTAAACAACCATATGAGAAGTAATGGCATGACGCCGCATCGGGGCGACGGGTCACAAATCTGGGCGCATATCCCTATGAAGCTGTCTTGAACAATCATTTCTTAATACACCTGTAGTATACAATTACATCTGCACCTCGTACATTTGATGTTTTTCTTTTCCCCGTGTGTTCAACTTGACTGCTACTTTGTCGACAAAAGGCGCCCAGCACGAAAGACTGACTGAATAAATGCTGACTCTATGTAAAGGACATATCCTGCCCTGCCCATGCAACCCTGGGTGATACTAAGACATAGCTGCTGCTGCCACATATGTAGCCAGCTCTCCCCATTTTCTCTAGTTGATGTGATGTGTGATTTGCGGTCTTGATAAAAGTACAAAAAAGGCGGCATAGTTTCGTTTGGTGAAGACCGCGATGGAGACCGCGAGGGTAGGGAGAAATAGCGAAGTTTGTCGTTTAAAATTATTCCGTTCATGGTAGCACACGATGCAAGTTGCCCTCCTCTTGTATCGTGGTGAGCTCGCCGATGAAGACGGAGAGAGAAAGAGTAGGGAGTTTGTGTGTTTTTTTTTGTCCTTTTTTATTTCTTGGCGTCAGAGGCGGCCGCGGCGCTGTCCGCGGGCTTTGCGACGCCGAACCAGCCGCCAAAGGAGCCCATCATATTGGTCATGGCCTCTTGCTGGGCCTTTTCCATCATTTCCTTTTCCTCCTGGAGCCACTTTTCGCCGTTTTCGCGGATATTCTGCGCCATGAACTCGTAGTTGCGCTGGCCGCGCTCGCGCGCAATGTCCTGCAGCATCTTGCCCTGGGCAAAGGCCTCGCTGGCGCTCTGCTCGCCCTCGGCCTGCATCAAGCTCATGTTGCTCGATTTGAGGCCGAGCATGTTGCCGAGGGCGCCCATGCCCGAGACGGCGGGCTTGCGGGCCGACTTGTTGCGCTTCTCAAACTCGCGGCGCATGAGGGCCTCGCGGCGCGCAAACTCGACGGGAATGTCCTTGCCCTCAAAGGACTTGATGACGCGGCGGACGTCGTCGTACTCCATGGTGTGGATGTACTCGAGGAAGGGGATCAGGTTGACGAGGCCGCGGTCGTCGGGGCCGCCCTTCCAAGGAGGGATGATGATGGCGTTTTCGGGCTGCTTGCGCACGAGCTTGGCGTCCGTGTCGATCATGATGACCTTGCTCAGGTCGCGGTTGAGGTAGGAGAGATCCTGGATCAGGTCATGTTAGTGGGGTGTAGAGTGTGTGCAGGATTGAACAATACGTACCTTGACGATTTCGCCATCTTCAAACTTGGTGGCCTCACGGTAAAGCCTCCACATGACAATATGGTGAGGGTCCAACTTCTGCAGCACGTTTTCAGCCATGACGCTCGAGGCCGTAGTGAAGAGGACCAGCTCATAGTACTGGGAGAGGTAGAGGAGGAAGTAGTCCAGGCCCGGACGCTTGGCGACTCGCCAGCCATACTCGCGCGACCATTCGCTATGGACGAGGAGCTCGTCCAGGCTCAAGCACAGAGTGTACGGGCGGGCAAAGTATGGCTGAGGGTCGGGCAGCAGCTTATCAAAGGCCGGCTCCTGGTAGTATGTGACGGACTCGGTCGTGCGCGCCTTGACTCGGTTCCACCACAGGCCAATGCCCCAGCCATTCGGCGCATCGGGGTGACGGTCGACGTCGATCGAGTCCTCCCAATTGCGGCCTGTGTAGATGAGGGTCGCGGCGCCTCCGATGGCGGCGAGAGCCAGCGCGGCGCGTGTATATTTTCGGCGATTGAGCTGGTGCGTCGACTCGTACGAATCATAAGGGTCGCGTCGTTCGCGCGACGTGGAGCTCTCTTCTTGCTCCATGGTCTGCAGGTACGACGACGGCTTCTGCCCGGCCTTTTCGGCCATTTCCTGCGCAAACGTCGAGGGGATACCCTGCGTCAGGTCGGGCAGCTTGTGGAAGGGTATTTGCTCAGGCTCATGGGCGGACTCGGCTGAGGACTCGGTCTCGGCGGACGCATCCTTGGGCTGCTGCTGCTGCTGCTGCTGCTGCGACGACGAAGCTTCGGTCGGCTTGCGCGATGACGGGGCCTCCTCGGCCGGGGCGGCGTCGTCCTTGGCTTTGGAGGCAGGCTTTTTGTTGTTCTTTTGCGAGTAGGGTCTAGCGAGCAGCGTCGACGACGGCGCAACCGCGGCCGCGCGGGTGCGCACGCCGGGGGCAGCAGTGGCGGCTTGTCGGGCCAGGCTGGCCATGCCCACACGGGGCGCCAGGACGAGCCTCGACAGCATGTTGGGGCGGCGTTGGTTCAAATCAATTGCGGCGCGGCGAGACGTGAAGGAGGGCGACAAGTTTGCGCCTTCACACCAGCTGCCGTGGGAAAAGTCTTTCGTATTGGATGAGAACTGTACAAATCGCACACGAGATAAAAACTCTCAGGACAAGGCGTTGGAGCTAGCTGGCTGGCCTCCTTGTCCACCAAAAATTTCCTGGCTGACCTCATCGAGCCATCCTGGCAGGTGACGCCAGGACTTTGTGGTGTCCGGAACTTTCATTTGACCGAGACCCGGATAGGCGGAGGTCACAGGCGGCTCAGTGGGCGATGGCGCTGTTCAGCGGGCTGTTCCCTGTAGTATTTTATAGCGCCGGCTACTACAGGTACCTACAGCCCCTGTACCACCTACAGTAATAGGCTAGTACCCTGCAAGTCTTTACAAGCAATCACCTGCAAAAGCGCTCCGTGCCTGTCTCCGGTTTCCGTTCGCCCCGACACCGATTGCAAGTCCCTCCCCTCACCACACCAGCACGAGACATCTTCCTCGATCACGGCTGCCTCTGTTAACAGTGTTTCTCGCTCCTTCAAGTTCCCGTCGTTCCGCAACTGTGCCCTCCTACCGTGCTACGGCCCCTCTCGCTCTCTGTCCGATTCGGCGCAATGGCCGCTCGTATTACAGTTTAGAGGGTGGTTCTCGGAATGACACTCATCTGCGGCATCATGGCACCACCCTCCGCGCAGCACTCTATTAGAGCCATTTCCTACTAATCAGACGCTGTCGTGTTGATTTCACAGAAGTCTTCGAGCTTGATAACACCTGCATACGGCCTCGCAGTCTCTCCAAATCGAAACCGCTTTCTAATCTATACTACGGAGATAACAAATTTGCCACCCACCTCCGCGACGATACAAATTACAACTCCACGCTGCCAACAGACACGCATTCGTGCTTTCTGAGGCTAGTCATCATTTCAAATCCCAACAATGCCTCGGAAATCTATCAGGCGCTCGTCTACGGCGCAGAGGAGCAACCAAGCGACGCAGACGCAGACTCAAACGCCAACGGAGCGAGGGAAGGCATATTCATCCCTCGCATCTGGCTCAGCAACAGAGACTGAGGAGATCATTGGCTCAATCGCATCTTTGACGCTAGACACACCTCTTCGCGCATTTCAGAAACCGAAGCCAAAAACACCCGAAAAGAAATTTCCGATTCTGTCGTTGCCATCGGAGTTGCGAATCAAGATCTATGAACACTTCTTTGCCGACATTACTGAAGTTCTAGACTTGACGCGGGAGAATCATAAGAGAATTCATAAACGGCTGGGTCTGATGAGGACGTGCAGGCTTATCAGCAACGAAGCGACACACTTCCTCTACAGCACTCGGACGTTCCGGCTCTTCCCCACGACCCCCGGCCGGTACTTCAAGACAAAGAAGCCTCTACTGGCTCGTCTTTCCGCTAGACAGCGACGATGCCTGACAAAGATCGAGATGCGCCTCGGACCAGGCTGGAGCGCGCCGCCCGCGGGATGGGTCGTCAATGCTGCTCTCGGGCTGCAAGACTGCATCCACGTCCATACTCTAGCAGTCTATGTCGAAGTGGACCCGAGTGACAATATTTTTAACAATTTTCGCCGCGCGGATGGCTTTTACGAGGAATTTAGTCGCCAACTTCTGGCCAACACGTTGAAAGGCTTGCCATCGGTTCGGACCATTGAATTCGACGCATACGAAAGTGTGCAAAAGAGAGGCGCCATGATGCGATCCCTCTTCACCATCGCCACTGCCTCAGATAAGGTCATAACTTGGGGCCCTGATCGTGGATGGTTTGGTGCGCCCGAAGATGAGGAGCCGCCCATGAAGAACGGCGTCCCAAACCGATACCTGGATAGTGTTCCCATTACTGGTTTCACAGCACAAAGCTTTGTTGCTGTTGCGTAGAGGATCCAGAGTTCTCCACTGCTTCACTTTTATGGTAATGGCGCTTACTACTGTGAGATGAGCAAAGAAAAGCCCAACTCACGATGATTTATGATGGAGTATCTGAATTTCGGGCATATACATACAGTACATATACAAATACAGTAGGACCTTTGCGGCGCACGTTTCTTTATAGGGTTAGGGTCGGTTTAGTCAAATATATGTACCATAAGTTATCGTCGGCTAGGATCATCAAGAACCTAAACTCCAGGCTCCGCTCCGCTACAGTCGTTTGTATCTTGTGATTTGTCTTGATTTATACGAATGGTAGTCCTGCTACTGAGCACCCAGCATGGCCAGCGCGTTTCGCAATTCTTTCACCGCCGTGGGCACATCGTCAAAGTTCAGAGCTGAGATCGCCCATTTGGCGTGCTTTTGGGCTTGGTTGAGGTCCTTTTGGGGTATATTCGTCGCGGGTGCATGCACAGCAGGAGTCGGCACTGGGTTCGCTGGATTCGGGGCTGTCACAGGAGCTGGTAGGGAGGCTGTCGGCCATGACATAGCTGGTGGAGGTGGTTCTCTCGGTTGGACGGGAAGAGGCTCGGGCAGAGGTATATGCTCGGGGGTTATCTTGGTCGGGAACTGAGGCGAAGGCTGAGGAGGTACCTGCTGCCTCGAGGAGTTCGGCGCGGTAGGTGGCGTAGGTTGCAGATTCTCCGCTGACTGGGGAGGTGGCGTGGCGATTGGAGAGGGGACAAACGGCGGCTCGGGTGTCGTTGCAGCCGGTGCTGCTGAGGGAAAGCCACTTGTGTCCGCAGCGGTCGCGGTCGTGAAAGGGACCGAGGGGAAGAAGGGCTCGCCTGCATCAGGGACCTCCTCTAAAGACACTGGCTGCGCAGATGGCCCGATGCTCGCTAGCTCCTGCGATGTAGGGTCAAGCTCGACCTCGGCCGGATCTTCGGGTTCGGGCTCGGGGGCTTTTGGATTGGACTCGTTGGGGTCAAGGCCCTGACGAATGGCCTTGAGGATGCGCGCGGCGTTCCACTTGGCGAACTTGATCTTTTGCAGCGTGTCCGCCTCTGGGGTGCCCCATTCCCGGGTCAAGTCGAAAAAGGTGGCGGCGGCGTCAAACGTGTCGGCGGTTTGTCTTTTTGCAAGAGGTGCAACTGTTAGCTTTCCTCCTCCCCCGGTTGTGTCCGGACCGGCAGCTGGGGAGCAATGCAGTTCCCAGCGATTTGTGTGTTGCGTACCTCGTCACCTTGTCGGCGCGCATGGTCCTCTCGGCGCGATCAAACGTCTCCTGGGCAAACATCTCCACGTACGCCTGCCCCGCCGTGTTGTCGGTGATGGCATCGTCGTCGGCGCGCTCGGCCTTGGTCGCCTCGAGGCGCTCAATCAGCGTCCGCGTAAAGTTGAAGCAGTCGTCATCGGTCGTGTGCAGGCTCTTGCCGACAATCTGGTTGACGGCGTGGTACTCGCACCAGTAGGCAACGGCGGGCTTGACGGCGCGCAGCTGGTTGGCACGGTTGATGAAGCGGCTGATCTCGGGGATCTTGAACGCGGCGGGGAGGGGCAGGAGCTCGGCCATGGTGGCGCTGCGGCGGGATTTTGTGCAGCTTCCCCTCGGTTTTTGATTTAAGAATGCGATTTGCTTCTTTTCCTCTTCTTTTCTTTGGAATTCGGCGGGGATGGTGATGCTGTGTAGCTTGTTGGAGAGGGAGCTTTATCTTGCAGCCTGCAATGCTTGGCGGGACAGAGAGGGGCTGACGTCAAAAGGCCATCATCACGTGTAAGAGTCACGATGCTGGCCATCATTTCGAACAACTGGTAATAATTGTCTGGTGCAAGTTGGCCTGACGAAAATGACGATGTTAGCTTAGAAAGAATAAAAAAAAACTCTGAATTGTTCACGATGAATGAAACAGCCCAGTCGTAGCTCGCTGTTTGCTCGCTAGTAAGTGGACTCCGAGCATGGCAGAGACGAACCCGCAGAAACACATAAATGGCCAAAGGGAAGAGAGCATTATGGTCCTAGGAAAGTAGTTCTGACTAAAGATCCAACACGGACGACCCTACGAAACGATCGCCTCACCACATTGAGTGGAATACCCGCCACCATCCCGACGCCAGAGAGTGTAGGTTACGACAAAGACGAAAAAGAGTTGCAGCGAAGATGAATAGGTGGTTATTGCTAATCACGTACACAGTTGCAGTAATCGAGGTTCGAGTTTTAAGAATCGTAGAAAAGACTCGGTGCAGAGAGGTATCCTGTCCCTGCAAGTCAGGATACAGGGCACGAATCATATTGCTTCACAAGCAAAGTTCCAGCATCCAGCGCAAGTGAAGTGAAGCCAATAACTCAATGATGCATATAAACTGGAAGAAAGAATCAAGAGTGGATGTTCCGGACGGTTTCTTTACAGCGCCCAAAGCTGTCAAATACACTATGTGCTCTGCTCTGCTCTCCTTCCCAACCCCCCTCAGAGGTGACATCACCTACACGGAACATTTTGTAGGCTCTCGCGCCCTGACCTGAAATGGCTAGGAGTTGAGGCAATGTGTCTGTACCTGGTGTAGCCAGACTTCTGCCGATTGAGCATCTCGCTTACTGTATTATTTACGCGATGTAAACTACGGAGTCTCCAGCCCGAATGTCTTGTCTTGAAGACGAATTTGATGTCTTGGGCCTGCGACACATTATTGAGTTACAGCTCCGTGCGATTCTGAACCAGCCGCCATGTAATGGACTCAGAGCACTGTCCGCTTGCCCCGAGTCTCATTCAGTTCGGACTCAGCAGTGCGAATCGGCTTCCGTCACTTACACCAGAGAGTCGTCCTGTGTGGATTGGCAAATTGGAGGCTGCAAACTCTCCCAGAAACAAACACGACGAAAAACAAGGAACCACTGATATTCACCAGGAAACAAGTCTTGAGCAACGCCGCAAGTACCAATGTGGCCTGAATTTAAAGTCCTTGCAACAAGGCATTCGGTCTGGACTTGACCCCGGCGCGGCGGAAACACGGCGCCCCATCTCGCTGCCTTGACAATCTGTACAAATTAGTTACTCAGTAATTCCTTGTAGGTGCAGCTGACAGCTTGACTCTTACTAGTTAGCGAGCACGCCACAGCTGAGGTGCAAAGCGATTCCTGGTCTTGCAATGTTTTCCATCCCAGCTCACTAGTGTAATATGCTGGCCAAGTATTAATATTAATGCATCTCGTATTATAGCGCAGTAGCGCCCATCTATTGACTGCAGGGTGTTGGAGCAGGCTGAGGTCTGGCCTCTAGAGGTCATCTCATAACTTGCTAATATATGGTAGGCTTTTGTCAGTCCACCCTACAGGGTGTTGCATGTTTTCTGCATGGGGGCGCATGAGAGGATCCAATGTGAAAGAGGTAGCGCCGAGCCTTGTGTGGTTGACTTCGTAGCCAAAGATGGATAGCCTTTCACAAAGACAGACTTGTTATGTAATTGTATTGGGACAGAGTTGGTTGGCTAGCACATCCTTGGGTAACTATGTAATTATGCCATCACGCCGTTTTAGAATAGTTAGGGGTGGACGCAGCAATACATTTGTTCTGAAAAACTTTGTGCTCACAACACTACCCATTTGACTCTGTCCAGGGGTCATTTGCCGTGTCGGGAGTTTGGAATAGAGTTTTGATCATAGACTATTCCGCGACATGCCCAGTCTAGAGGCCGTGTCATAATGCACGCCACCTGCTTGCTATGTATAACTAGAGTGCTCTGGGCCGGCACTTGTGCCAGGCGGCGGACACGGGACAAAACATTACGGCCGAGGGGAACTGAGTGACGGGCGCTCTCTCGATGCAAATGCCTCGCTTCGAAATCTTCACCCTAAAAACATGTGACACAGTCTATTCTGAGGAACTGGGAAATTGGGGGAAAAAAAAGAACAAGGCCGCCGTATCGAGGGAGGGACGCCGCCAGATCGATCAAAGAACCATCCTCACATTCGCCCAACAGAGCCGCCCGGGGAACAAGTTATGATTCGGGTCTTATTTGTTGGCGGCTCGAATTCTGCATGAGCCTCCTTGCAAGATCTTTATTAGTTAGGACGGGAGGGGCGCTGCCATCGTCCATTCGAGGATGGAACTCTCGGGGCCAGGCACGAAGTAGGAGTCGGAAGGTAATTTCCACGCGACAGCGCTCCCGCACTCAATTGGCAGAGATGGCCCTTTGCAGGATTCGACTCCGCCCTCTCCTCCTTCCCCGCAAGTTGGTAAGATTAACAACTGACAGTCATCTCCACACAATTGGCCGTTGAAGGTCCGTGTCGGTCAGTACGGTCGGATGATTGGGTCGGCCCTGCAGGTGGATAATCCCCAGCTAGACCTTTTTTCACATTTTTTGCGCCCTGGCTTCGGATGGCTTGTTTCTGTGGCCGGCTAAGAGCGGATAATCCCTGAAGCAGGACAGTGCTCCGGGGTTTGCGCGGGGAAGAACAGTGCTCTCCCCATGTCCTCTATCCATCTCAAGTGTATGTACATTCGACGCCACGGCAAATCAGGTTAGTTATGCGCCCAAGTTTTCATTACTTGTGGGAGCCTCACAGGTGGCGCAACTATGTAGCAATGGACAACATAGGAAGAAGTGACAAGTAGTTACACCTACTCTCTCCTACTCTCTCGGAAGGATGGTTGCATCGAGAAAAATTTCAAGCCCAACGTCGGGAACAGCGACAACGACAACGACATTGCTCCTTCCAAGTTGGAAGAGACCTCCGCGCTGAGAATATACACTCAATCTCTAATCTGTACTCCTAGTTGGTTTATGGATTGTCGTGTTCATTCCGTCTTGAGCATTTTGCCATTTGTTCTGCGGGGTAGGAACTGGTTTCGGCAATGTAGTTATAAAAATAGGAACTATCTGCTTGGAGGGTTGAGTACGTACTCTTTCTGTGACGTGGGCCTGTACCTACGGACTACCTGATTGTCACTTGAACAGGTGCAGAAGACACCCACACAGCGACGGGGTCACACCATCCAGCGTGTCCCCCTAGTACATAACTTCCTACCAATGGTTAGAGCCCCTACCAATGGTTAGAGCCAGATGGGAGTCGAGTTGAGAAGCAGGCGCGCACGCAGGCGGATACCTTCGTACGGTCGGCACTATTCCGCCACGAAGACAACAAGCTCGCTCAGCCTGGGAAATTAAGTACCTGCTACTGGACGATCCCGCTTCGTTGCTTGTCATGGCACAAACGACATGATAGATCGGCATAGATCTCCAGTAATATTGGTTGACCCGGTTGGGTTCACGGCATCACGTCTTGTTCCTGAAGCTCAAGGACCAAGAGTCCATGCGCCCCATAAGCTTAATGAGCGGCTAGTGATGGATCAATAAATAAGGGGGAATAAGTTGGCTGGCACAATAGACCTTCGCTAGCATAGCAGTAAGACTCGGGCCGCGAAGCTGTCCACATTGGGAACCGCCTAATAATACTAAGTGGATAGAGTTTGCGCCAATAGTTTGAAGAAGAACCATCTCCATGAATCTCACTCTTCTTGCCACGTTGGCAACATAGTGAGCCGAATACGCGCCGTGCAATGTATCGACAATATGTTACGGAAGTGTGTGACTTGATCGCTCGTACTAGCAACCTCTCATCTATGTAGCAAAGTAGGAAACACTTCAGCACTTCCCGCTCACATGCTAATAGCCCGCACCAGGTAGTTACGTATTGGCAAGGCAAGCACGACTGGCTGGCTTGGGAATCCACCCCCGGAGTTGTGTCTCGATTTGGCCAGCTTGTAGGTGTGGCAAAGACACAAGAAGGGAAATTTCTCAAACGAGCAGTCCGTATTGCGCAAGTGGAGACTCCTTCTACTGTTGCCACTACTTTGCGGTAAAAAGCAAGCTGGCCGACATGGCATTGCTAGGCTGCCAACTGCTTTGTTGTGTACGCTCGTCACTCTGAGCCTAGTCCTCCTGCCTTGCTGCGGTGCCTGTTCATCAGGAAACGCCGAGTGGGCTGCGCGAAGGATGCATGAAGCGGGCGCGCCCGACTCCTTTGGTCGGCCACGGCAACCAATTCTGATTCTATTGGTACCGCGAGTTCGACGTCGGCCAGCAATCGGTCGACGTCTGTGCCTCGACTCCATGAAATGGGCACTTGCCCACCAATGACCAACCCACACCAACCATGAGCTAATCACACAATCAATGCGCGGGGGAGACAGAAACCAAGGGGCAAGTGTGGAGGTGCCCAAGACAGAAAGAAGACAGCTTTTGCGGAGAGGGCTGGGGTACCTTGTCGTCGTGTCATACATCATGCCACCATGCAATATTATTGGGAGAGCAGAGGACACGAAACTTGAGGCTCGTAGCTCGTAGCTCGTAGCTTGTAGCTTGCTAGTTGCCTTGAGGAGCAGTCAACCAAGCGATGGGAAGCTTCTTGGCCACGTGATGGCGTTGGCTTCTTAAACAGGGACAGCTAACTGGATGGTGAAGGCGCCGAACTGACGTGCCAACAACTGACTTTTTTTGCAGCGCGCCATATCCCACGGTGAGCTTCTTCTGAGCCTCGTCCGGCCAAGAAACTACTTTGCCTACAGTGGCGTCAAGCCAAATGCTCGGCGTCGACACCAAGAGCTGGCCTTTTGGCCGTGGCTCCCCACACGCACCTTTGTTGGAGGCGAATAGATCGAGTACGCGGATGGACACGGACACGGACTGCTCCTCTCCCCTCACCCCTGTGTACATACATGTACATACAACATGCGGCGGCGTACATAGCAGAACCTGGTCATGTCGCTGCCGCCACTCCTCCAGGATGGCTGACAACTATGTACATTCCCACGGAGGCTTGGCTGCAGGCTCTCTCCCAAATGTCGAGAACTTCTCCACTCCTTTGTTATAAGTCGTCTTACAATCGAATCGCCTGCCTCGGTAATAAGCTCTTTCACAGGCCACACGCCCTTCCCTTCCCCATTCGAGGTACCAACTGACTGACTTCTGCTGGATACCTTCCTCAAGTAGTTGCCATTTATACTTTGTAGGTTGCTCAGTACACCCCCCTCGGACCAGACGCCAATGTCACCACACCTACCTCCACTAACCAAGTCGTCTTTTTTGTTTTCCTATATAATCGTTGGCTCTCTCCCCTTTCTTGGTTTTGTTTCTGCTTCTCTCCCCATCCCTAATAACTATCACTCACCTTCGCTTTGAGTCTACAGAACACTCGTTACTTGCAAATTCTCCATTTTCAGACGCAGTCTTCCATCAACACCGCCAAAATGAAGTTCATCACTCTCGCCTTGGTCAGCACTGCCACCGCTGCCATGGTAGCCCGCGACGCTACCGTAGTCAAAGCTGTCATGTCCACCATCGGGACCGACCTTGACGCCGTCAAGACTGCTGCCGATGCCTACAAGGGTGACAAGACCGACCTTGTCAAGGCCGCCGATCAGCTCGTCGCGGACCTCAAGGATGGCAAGACCAAGGTCGAGGCCGGCCCCGATCTGACCATCAACGATGCTGTTGAGCTTGGCACCGCCGTCACCAGCCTGACCAAGTCCGGCACTGCCCTCACCGACTCTCTTACCGCGCGCAAGTCCGAGGTCGAGAAGGCTGGCGAGTGCAAGACTGTCCAGGACCAGATCGCTTCCATCTCGGAAAACTCCAAGAGCCTCATTGACACCGTCACCAAGAAGGTGCCCGAGAGCGCTCAGGCCATTGCCGCGTCGCTCGCTGGCCAGCTGACTGCCGTCCTCCAGAAGGCTGAGGATTCGTACAAGGACTGCCAGAACTCGGGCAACAGCGGTTCTTCCTCGTCTGCCGCGTCGTCTGCCGCATCCTCTTCTGCGTCGTCTGCCGCGTCCTCTCCCGCAGGCCCCTCTGGCTCTGCCACCAGCACTGCCACCGGCACCGGCAGCGCCACCAAGACTGGCACTGGCAGCGTCACTGCTACTCAAACCTCGAGCAAGGCCACTGCTACCGGCACTGGCGGCGTCACTCCCACCAGCACCCATGTGACCGTTCCCACCGGTGCTGCCGCTCTCTACGCCCCTGCCGGTATTCTCGCTGCCGTTGCCGCCGCTCTTGCTCTGTAAGGGGCTTTCTCATTGAGAAACGACGCGACGACGATGTGGTTGTAATGGGATTGTTCGCAACTCCTCTCGGGTATCTTGGCGAAAATTGTATAGTACCCAAGCCTCTGTTTCTGTTTTTGGATTCTATATCGACACATGGCTAGATGACGAGTATCGGGCCACGGCTGTATCGTTGGTTAGATGGAAAGTTTTAATATAGGTTGGCTTAGCTACCTAGTAATGGGAGATGCTTTTTTTGACCACTTGTTCCCTCGTTGAATGCCTTTTCGTTTTCAACTTTCTTTGAATGGTCTGTCGTCTACCTCGCATCATCGTACAAAGATTCCGAAGTCAATAATATTCCGGGTCAGCAGGTATTCGACACGCAATGCACAGACGCGACTCTGTTGCGCAATGTCAAGAACCCCAACCCTACCCGGTCGCATCAACTGACGTCCCATCCCGCGCTGCCAAGCATTCCTCTTTATTTCGCCAGACAGAGCTCTTTGCATACGATCTGTGCTGTCGCGCGTCTCGACGGTGCTGCGAACTGCGATGAAAGCTGATTCTGCAATTGTCCCGGAAGGAAATTGTCGACGAGGCAAAAAGTAGTACCCAACTACCTTACCCAATCGGGCGTAGCCGGATCGCGCCTATAAGTGGGCCAGGGGAGCTCTCTTCCACCGAATCACTAACTAGGTACCTAGTACAGATTAGTTAGTTGCAAGTAGCCCTTGAAATAAGGGTTTCTTGCAAGTGTACTACTGTGTTGCAATGCGCACTGTAAAACAATCAGAATTTTAGCGCGTATTTCAATTGCACTCTCAAACTGTCAATCTAGCAGAATCTCACTGAATATAGTACCTGCAGGCTGTACATCCGCGCCCACTACTCCGTACTCTGCGGAAAATGCGTACCACGTGCAGGGTCGCCCGACTGAGTGTACGTACCTACCTTAGTACCTAGGTAGGTACCTACCTAGGTATGTATGTAGTTAGGTAGGTACGTACCTTTCCACACCGTTTGTGTTACCTTAATAAGATGATAACGTTATGTTTGTCTTCATCCTTCATCCTTTAGGCTACATGTCAACGTTCGCCAAATACAGCGGCCGCTCAATTCCCCGTCCTCGCTATCTACCTGGGGAATTGAGAGACATTGCAAGCCTACTACTCGACCTTTTCCCCTTAAACGCACTCTAGCACTATGTTTCCTCGGCGCGTGGTCCTACCTCGCACGACCAGCAGGTCAATCTTGCTGATGCAGCTCAGGAGGTTCGCCTCCAAGAACTTCTCACCTTCGGCCCCGAGCATCAGCAAGGGAATGAGATATACTGCGATTACCGGTGTCGTCGCCGCGCCATGCCTTTGGTGGTTGACAAGTACCCACGACGATGCGCCAAGTCTACAGAGTCCGCCCACCCAGCAGCTCTTCAGTGAGCCAGGCCCTTCTGGAGACCAGGTCACGCAGATGATATCGCAAGGCGCATATTCTGTTCGTGTCAAAAGCATTTCCGGGGTCACCAGATACGATGGCACTCAATTTGGCTCCAACCCCCTGTGCGAGGATCGCTTCATCCATGGCAAATTCCCTTCGCCATGGGATGATGGCAACCAGTGGATGACCTGGGCTGTTTTCGACGGACATGCCGGTTGGCAGACAGCAGACTTACTAGAGAAGCAACTCCTGCCCCATGTACGACACAGCTTAAGCCAAGTCAAGTCGGCATCAATCGGAGGATCCGTACCTGACGAATTCATCCGGCGCGCTATTACGACAGCGTTTATTAAGCTCGACGATTCTATCATCAATGCAGCTCTGGACACGGCTCAGAGTAAGGAACCGCTGCAAGACAAGATCAAGAAACTGGCTCCGGCTTATGCCGGTTCATGCGCTCTGCTATCATTATATGATCCTGTCACAAGCAATCTGCATGTGGCATGCACTGGAGATTCCAGAGCAGTTTTGGGACGAAAGGGGCCAAACGGCAAGTGGGAGGCGATACCCTTGTCGGTAGACCAAACCGGTAGCAACAAGGAAGAAATTGCCAGGCTCAACAAGGAGCACCCTGGAGAAGAAAACGTTGTCAAGAATGGTCGCGTTTTGGGGATGATGGTCTCGCGAGCTTTTGGCGATGGTCGGTGGAAGTTTCCTTTGGACTTTCAGCTCGACTCGGTGCGGAAATTCTACGGTGTACCGCCTTTGACCCCGACCGACGACTTTCGAACTCCTCCATATCTGACCGCCGAGCCTGTTGTGACATCCACCAAGATCGATCCCAGCACACAAACGTTCTTGATCATGGCCACAGACGGCCTGTGGGATATGCTCTCCAGTCAGCAGGCCGTTGATCTGGTGGGCCAGTGGGTAGATTCACGGGGGGTGCCAGGGGACAACAACAAACCGGAGGCAACTTACGAACCATTCGATTTTGGTCAATTCTGGAAGGGAGTGAACTGGAAGTTTATCAAGCGTAGGACGACGAACCAAGATGACAACGCCGCCGTGCACCTTACGCGTAACTGCCTTGGCGGAAACCATCATGAGTTGATCGCAGGCCGGCTAGCCTTCAGCCCTCCGTTTTCCCGGCGTGTACGAGATGATATTACTGTGCAGGTTGCTTTCTTTAACTCGGATCCCTAAACCAGTAGGATTCGGTGGTGGCGGGCTCTGTGTTCCGACTTGGCAATATGCAAAGAGACCGCAGAGTTCAGATAGTTTATTAGTACTTCAGCGTGATTAAGCGCCAGGATATAAATAAAAACAGTAAATACACGTGAAGCAAGTTCATAAGTTTCTACACTACTAGTTTGACGCCCGCACATCGTACACTCCCATGCGTCCTCCACCGTCTCCAACAACCAAGAAACGAGCATCCGCCGAAAATGAAAGTTCAGTAACTCTGCCTAGGTCGTGGAACTGTCGGAATCCAGAGTCAAAGCTATTTCGCGCGTTGATTGCATTCCGGTCCGGCCAGCACCAAACCTCGTCCCCCGTTATCACATCGAGGATGACAACCGAGCCCCTAGCACCGATTTCAGCTCCCGAAGCATCGCAGTAGGCCACTAGTCGACAGTCTGGAGAGATGCACGAAATGCAATTTGGAATGGCAAATGTTCGGGTCGAGTTGGCGGATAGATCCCAGACGAGCACGTGGCGAAGCGGCACTTTGACAGATGTTAAATTGTACCCCGAGCCTTTCCGCGACGCTGGAACAGGGACGGCGCGAAAGCTGGCGGGTATCCAAATAGATACAACGACACTACCATACGTGACCAGGTCAATGGGGATAGCAGTGTCAAGCTCCGAGTGTTGCCACGGACGCGCGACTCGATAGGGCTTATTTTCGGGATTGGCTTGGTCCGAGATTTCCCATGCGACGAGAAGAGTCTCTCTTTTCGGGGGAGGATGGCCGGCAATCGGAGGTCTCGGTCCTGCCGCGGCAACCACGAGTGGGCTTGTTGCTGAAATAGCCAACTCGGGGAGGATAGGAGTAAACGGGAGCCCGGCTTTGGCCAGCTCAATTGAGCACTGTTTATAAAGCGGCTTCTTCTTCTCTTGCGTCGCCAGGTAGACATCAATTGTCGCAGACTCTGCCCGGTATATCGCCAGCGGGCATCGCCCCCCGTCGAACATGTCAAAGCGGCCAGCGGTCCATCTGTCAGCATCTCCAATGGACTGAATGGATTTTCTTCTTGTCCAATCAAATATGGAAATAGAACGGCCGAAGCGTGTAGCTATCGCAATCAAGGTGGATGCTTCGGAAAGAATGGCGTGACTGCGAATCATGTAGTCCCTGGAGCGGGATTTCGCCTCCGTGTAAGACGAGAATTTGATGACATTTTGAAGCTCGCCGCTGGCCAAGGACCACACCTTTACTAAATTATGCCCATGTTTGCTGGCAAGAACAGTCGCGCTTGGTGATATGTCCAGATAGTGGACGCTATTGTTCACTTTTTTGTCGTCGGAAACAAGATCCTTCCAGAAATGAAGACTAGAAGGCTTCGGCATTGATCGTTGGCTCAAGGGCCTATATAGAGGTGGGCCGACTCGGTCCGGAAATGAACCATATCCCTCCGTGCCTTTCGGGGCCGCAAAATTGGGCGATGTAGTCGTGACTGGACTAGGCAGGGCGGCCTCTGTATAACTTCCATGGAAATTCGACCGCGACGAGCGGGTGGTGCTAATAGATGACAGGCTATGGGAGTCGGTAGAATAGTGCCGTCGTACAGTACTCTTGGAAGGCGGGATGGGAGGAAGAGGCCCGGTCGGTGCAGGATAAAGGCTGTGTTGAGACATGTTGGAGGCGATGTGGCGCAGTGATCGACCTGTCGGCGGCTGTTGATCTCTGGGTAGACTTGTCCGGAGCTGTCTATGTGAGGGGCCGGACTTGAAATTTGTAGATGGTACGTAACCATCGGTTGACCAGGAAGATGCTCCGATACTGCTGATGGGAGAAGGCAGTGAGCCGAGGCTGTCTCGCAGTGGCGTACGCAGCCCTACGCTGGGATGGCTCAGCCCCCCTCGAGGTAGGGAGTCGGTCAAATAATTGCCATGCCAGTCCAGCTCGTGATGATTGACATCAAGAAGCCGGAGACCATGTCTATAACGGAGTCAGCAACTGGCAGCAGCAACTTGTGGTCGCAGGAATGGCGGATGCGCACCGTATGTGGTCCTTGTCGGCAGTTGTGGGGAGGTCCATGTCGACTATCAAGATTTGGAGCCGAGGGAAGTTTACCGAATGCACGGCAGCTCACGCGAGCAGTATTGCGATCAATTGTCAAATCCAAAGCTTCGTTTCCCAGCAGTAGTAGGGTTCGACAATTGCCCACCGTGTAAGCCAGGTGACTTGGTAGCGGCACCTGAACTGATCAGTTTGGAATAGTATTTTGGACTTGGAACCAGAAGAAATCACAGAATTCCGAGAACCATGAACTGGGCATGCACCAAACAAAAGGCTGCTCAGCTTCCAACAAGCCTTCCCCCCTCACCTCACTCCACATTGAAGAGGTGGAATTATTAGACCCGAGTCATCAGTGGATGTGATCCAGTACGGACGACTACGGACGGCTAAGACCTACCAACCAGCAGCTGAGGACGCCTCTCAGCCACCAGAAGCCACACACCAGGTCGAGATGGAGTTTGGCTTTATTGGCCACTGTTAGAGGGCGAAAAATCCTCACGCCATGTTTTGTCCGGACCGGCTAGCACCGTGCCGCTGCGGCCAAGGATGATCCCCTAGGGGGCGGCGGAAAGTGCCTAAATGCTTGGTGGTGACGCCTCTATAGGAAGGATACAAGGCCGAGTTGTGGTGTATCTGTACAAGGAATGTACGAATTAGTCATGGTCAGTTATGTGTTTCTACTTGAATTAGCAAGCCCTGTTGCCCTCGTCACCCAGCGTTGATTCATTGCCTCAGATCAAATCGAGACAGGGCTTGACCCATAAACGGTGGCCTGTGGCGAAATGGCTGGGGAGCAGGCCAAAATAGCATCCTTTTGGTGGATCGCAACCCTGACCATACCATTACGTCCCCAAGTCCGTCACAACTTGCGCGTTATGTAGGAGTTAACTAGTGGCGGCCGAGGAAATGAAGAGCTGAAAAGGGTAACACCGTCACAGGGACCCCGCATGCTGTTTCACTTCGCTCCGCCAGCGATGACTTGCAAGTCGACAATATCTCGCCGAACTAGTTACGGATCACACCGAGTCGGATACACACGTACCTAGACAACCACACAAGGACGTCGGCTGTGTGTGGGGGTTGCTCGGAAATGCACCAGAAGCCCTGTCTGTGCGTGATTGCTTTCTGATTCACTTGTGAACCATGAACAAGGTTGGTCCATGACGGGTCCTTTCCGCGGGTAGTTAGCTAGTTAGAATAAGTCAGGGCGAGATCTCAGAAACTCGAGCCCGATTGAGACCGTGCGCGATGCGCTCTGGTCCACGACGGCTTTTGTGATGTGGTGTCGTATTAGTCTGCCTCATCATGTGCCATGGACGATGCGGCAAGTTTTCTGCCAAGTCCGTGCAGGGGCTGAATATTGCTGTGTTGCCTTTTTTATCGGCAGCTGTGCTGTTTCAGCGCTCGGCAAAACTGATTTCGCCCAGCCTGTGCTAGGCCTCAGCTGCGGGCGCGATGCCACTGGTACTGGTGGGCTGCCCGGCAGCTGGTTGAAGCCGGTTCTCCATGTAGCCTGCGGCAGGCTAACCTGATGATGGCTCGCGTTGAAAGTGCCGGCCCAGTGGCGCCTACAAGATCATGGACAAACGGGCAAACAGGCCGAAGTGGCAGATCAGCAGCGACCTGGTGGCCTCGTCGCAACCGATTATAAGACTCTCTGAACGTCACCTTTTCCCTGCTTGAGGCGGCAACGAATAATTGTGGAAGCCATCTGCAATTGACAATGACTGGGTTTCGAGTGCTAATAGCGAATGACGGAGTATGCTGTTCATGGCGTGCTATAGTGCGTGATGTTCGATTTGGCGGTGGCTAGTTGCGAGGAATTGAAGAGCACGACACAGACTCAAACTGAGATTATTGCGTTTCGAGAGGTTGTCCAATTTTCTTGGGATGGAATAGCTGACGAGCCAATGGGTTCATGAAGGCGCGGCAGTGGTATGGCACGGAGTGAGGGAGTGTTGCCCATGTAAGCCTTGAACATGATCTCGTCACACACGCGTCGTTAAAGCGATCGAGTTCCGCGTTGTTAAGATGATGGTCCAAGCTGTACCCGAATCATTGTACGTAGGTTGTTGGTTGTATATCAGGAGTGGAAAAGTTGGCCCGGTGAGCGGGGACGAAAGTGCACAGAGTCAAGTGAGGGGGAGGGGCGCGATTGGCCAGGTGAATGACACCGAAAATCCCAAGCCGTTGTGAGGAAACTAGCATCTTTTTGTAAGCCTCTGTGACGTATTATATCCAAGAAGATGGAAAAGAAAATAAAAAAGAATCAATTCGTGTCAAGTAACGCGACTACCTTGTTCGAGGCCTGCGCCCTCTAGAGCTCTTGATGTTACCTTAGTACCTACCTAGGTACCTACCTACCTAGATAGCTAACTGGTCGTAAGCTCTTTGCCCCACCTTTGGCCTCTGCCTCTTGCCTCCTTCACCAACATTCACATTAATTGCTCCCATCAAACAGCCGGCTGCGAAGCCCCCGAACCAGAGAGGCAAGGGATAACAAAATTTTCCAACGACAACTGCATGCTGGCTCTTCAATCCCGCCCTACAAGCTACCAGCCGAAGCTTCCGCGGTGGTAGCAAATATGGCCACCATAAGTCCAGCTGCATGCACGCCTCAGGCGGTCATGGCCCATGCTCAAAAGCTCGGCGACGCTGACCCCGACTTTCGCTTCATGGCACTGAATGATCTTCTGCAGATACTAACTTCAGCAAACCCCGATTTTCTACAGCATGATTTTAATGTCGCCGGCCGCACTGTTGATAGCATCCTCAAGGCCCTGGATGACCCTAACGGCGAGGTGCAAAACTTAGCCATCAAGTGGTCAGTCGTGTTGCCTTGCGCCAACATCTCGGTTTGAATTCATCATGCTGACATACAAAACAGCCTAGGGCCTCTGGTCGGAAAAGTGCCTGCTGCGCTCGTGGGGTCCATGGTCGACAAGCTGTCCTCACTCAAGTTCGAGAATTCGGTCGACCATGCAATTTCATCATTGGCTCTACGTCAGTTGATTATCGCGCTACCTCGACCTCTTCCTGGGACCCCGGTCTCCAACGAAGTCAACAACGCATACGCAGCCATGAACCGTGTGCTGATTCCACGGCTGATTGGCTCCAAAGCCAAGACTCGTGCTTCTAGCACAGTCAACGATAAAATAAGCCTTCCAGACATTCCTCCAGCGCTGGTGCGGGATAGCAAAGATATAACCGTCGAGGGTGTGGATGTATTGATTGAAGTTGTTCGCTGTTTCGGTCCTCTTCTTGACCACGAGGAAGTGGAATCCATGCTCAATGTTGTATTACGTCTTCTTGATGGCGAACATGGAAGCGCTGCTGTGAAGAAGCGAGCAGTAGTCGCCGTTTCAATGCTCGCTGTGTACCTGTCTGACCAACAGTTGGCTAAGGTCGTCCAAACTCTCACAGAAGGACTAGCTCGCCCCAACGCCAGCTCCGTCTCGCGCCGTCTACACATTTCCATTCTTGGAAGCATGGCTCGTTCAATTCCTGCTCGTTTTGGAGAGCACCTGCCTCAGACGGCCAGTTTTATCTTCAATGAATTAGCAGAGGACAAGCTCGACTCTCATATGCAGCAGCTGGACGATGGCGACGACCTGGGCCTCGAATTCAATGAGGTCAGGGAGGCAGCCTTGGTGGCCCTCGAGGCCTTCTTGGCTTCCTGCCCGCAGGAAATGCGACCTTTCACAGATCTCGTTATTTCATCTTGCCTTCGCTATTTGAAGTTTGACCCAAACTACGCAGTCGACGAAGATGAAGAAATGGAAGACTCGGCAGAAGAGGTAGAGGACGATGATGACGAGGAATTCGATGCTGATGATGGCTTCGAAGATGACGACGATGACGCAAGCTGGAAAGTGCGAAGGTGTGCTGCAAAAGCCATTTATACACTGATAGCCACTCGTGGCAGTGGCGACTTGTTGGAGAATGGTGTCCTGTATACCGCGGCCGCGCCGACTCTTGTGAAGCGCATGGATGAACGCGAAGAAAATGTTCGCCTTGAGGTCATATCAGCCCTTTCTCTGCTCGTTCGGAAGACTGGCGAGGGCTTGCATACCGAGCGCGTCACTTTTGACGAACTTGAGCCCGATGTAGTTGCCCAGATACCCATCAGTCGCAAACGCCGACGCCAGAGCAGTGGGGGCGGTTCGAACATCTCCAAGTATATGATTGGCACCGGGCTAGTCTCTCCTACCCTTGAGAAAGCGCCAATGCATGGGCCTCGCGCCGAACTGATAACTTTGGTTCCCAGCATCGTCAAGATTTCGACCAACCAGCTCAAGGCCAAAACTGTCCACACAAAGCAAGCCATGATTAGCTTACTTGACGATATCGTGTCTGTGCTACAAGGTGGTCTGGCTGACCATTTTGGAACGATCATAAGCCTCATTTTGGATGCTATCAAGTCAGTCGGCTCTAGCTCAACTTCGGCCTCCCTCTCGAGCGCTGGAGGCAGCGCATCTGCCACGCCTAGCTCGCTTCGAGTCGCTGCCTTGAAGCTAATCAGTGACATTTCCAAGACGCACTCATCGGCTGTTTTGCAGCCTTATCTGACTCAGATTGTCGATGGAGTCACACTAGCTGTTCACGATCGATTCTACAAAATCTCAAGCGAAGGTATTCGCACATCGGAAGAGTTGGTCAAAGCCATCACACCGCCCAGATCGCGAGGATCCGCATTCAAATACAAAGGAGAGCTCGACAAGCTCTACACAGTGATCATGGACCGAGCCTCTGCAAATGATGCCGATGCAGAGGTTCGGCAGCGCGCTATCCATGGACTTGGTGTGTTGATCTCTCGAACATCAGCTGCCGATAGTGACGCGCTAGTATCGAAAGACAAGCGTGAGGCTGCTCTGACGGTTCTTCGTGAACGTCTAAGGAACGAAACAACCCGTCTTGCTTCCGTGCGCGCTGTCGACAACGTCGCGTCGTCCGCCAACGTTTTGGGCCAATTGCAAAAAGGTTGGATTCAGGATGTGGCTTTGGAACTTGCTGCCCAGCTTCGCAAAGCCAACCGGCCGCTCCGTGGCTCCAGCATTACCGCACTAAAACATCTTGTTGTCTGCAAGGCTGCTGAGGACCAACTGGAAGCCGCCACCATCGAGGGAATTGTGTCAGCGCTCATGCCGATAATCAGAAACGCCGACGCGCACCTTCTAGGCTCGTCTCTGCTCATTTTGGCAGACCTGGTCAGGAATCACGCGCAGCTTGTCATGGTCGATGAAACTGTCTCTGCTCTTTGCGAGCTTCTGAAGTCACATCTTGCTGGAATAGTCCTCGACCAACTTCTTACTCTCACCAGTGCTGTTGGCCAGAGCGGCACAGGAGGCCCTTTGATGGGCGGGCTTTTGCAGAATGTGAGCATTGCTGGCGACCCAGTAGTTGTGGGAAAGGTGATTGGAACCCTTCTGGTCACTGGTGGAGCTTCGTCTGGAGTGTCTGTGGATAGCTTCATTTCGGAGCTACAGAGCAGCTCGCAAGGTGATGACGCAGCCCGCACCTGTCTTGCACTCGCAGTCCTAGGCGAGGCAGGTATGAGACTGCGTACTGACTCGTCGTTGAGCCCCGAACTATTCCTAGGTCAGTTCCGCAGTGAGCCTGACAAGGTTTCTCTGGCCGCCGCTGTCGCGCTCGGCCGTGCGGGTTCTGGAAACGTACCGAGCTTCTTGCCTACAATTCTCAAAGCGATGAGGAAAGGTGGAAACACGCAATATCTGTTGATTCAATCGATCAAGGAGATTTTGCAGTCAGTCTCCGACCAATCAACCGACCTTCGGGACCAAGCCTTGCCTATTTGGGAGCAGCTGCTTCAGGCATCGGACTACGCGGAAAATAGGGTAGTTTGTGCAGAGTGCGTCGGCCGTCTAGCAACACTGGATCCAACCACTTTCATGCCCAAACTTCAGGTAACGAACTCTCATTGAGTCTATACGAAACAAACACTAATGGTGCTTCGAATAGACACTACTTAAGGCCAAGTCGACAGGTGTTCGTGGCATGGCTGTGCAGGCGGTACGCTATACACTCCCTGAGTGTGACGAGGCGTTTGATGCTGTACTGCGTAATGTGTTGATCGATATGCTGCTTATAATGCTGCAAGACCAAGACATGGAAATCCGTCGCCTGGCAATGTCGACACTGAACTCTGCAGCACATAACAAGCCCGACTTCATCTTGCCCCACCTCGGCCAACTCATGCCATTGGTGCTGTGTGAAACGACTTTGAAGCCGGAGTTGGTCCATGAAGTAGTACTAGGACCGTTCACGCATACTGTGGACGATGGCCTGGAAGTTCGAAAGGTAGAATTCCCTGTGATGCAATACGTTGTAGTGAGACTGAGCTAACGAGGGTTCAGAGTGCCTATGAAACGCTGTATGCGCTAATGGAGACAGCCTTCAGCCGAATCAACAACATCGACTTTTTCGACCGTGTTGTTGCTGGCCTTGAAGACGACCACGATATCCGTCAACTTTGTAACCTTATGGTCACGAAGCTCGTTGTCATTGATCCTGACGAGACAGCTCGACGTCTTGAGGCGATTACCCGGATTTACAGAGGCTTTCTATCCACTACGCTTAAGGCTAATTCCGTGAAGCAAGACTATGAGAAGAAGGAGGAAACAAATAAGAGTATTCTCCGGGTTACGCTTCTTCTGGGCGAGAAGATGAAGACGCTTACAGGCAATGCTGGCGCGTCGAGTGTCTGGACAAGTTACTGGGAGTGGGTCAACGATAAATTTGAACTCCAACTTAAGGGCTTGCGTGAGGACAATAAGGAGCTTCACATGAAGATGGTCTGATGCGTTTGTGCTTTTGCCCGATACTAGACAGGATCAACAAGTAGATGCAGCGTATACATGACATGATTAAGCTTCCTTCTACCGTATTTTTTGATGTGATACGCTCGCTAAGAACATACAATTAGTAACTTAGTAACGAAAGCCGCTGTCGAAGGATATAAGGAATGTCGATGGATAAGTACTGGCTGGCGATTGATTGTTTTTGGGGGCATTTGGCGGTCTTGTACGGACACGATGAATGCGATAATTGGTAGCATCAGCAAAAAAATTGCTAGCAACGAAATAAATTCCGAGTCATGCGACTTCCTATTGTACTAATTATTTGGTAAACATGCAACAGGCCGACCTGGACAGCAGAGGCCGAACTGACTCTGCTGCAACCCGGATTTTAGCTCCGCACGTGGCTATTGGCTGTGGTGTGGTGGTATATTGATTGTTCCCAGCAGCGAGTTTGCAAACAAGGCTAGTTAACTGCGGCCGATCTTCCATGCGTGGTTCATTGTCGGGAACGGGGGCGTTGGCCCGTGAGTCCGTGTCGCGTGTTGCAGCGAGCGACTTGCTTCTTCCTGCTCTCCTTTCCGTTTACATTACGGATACTGCAGATACAAACGTCATTTGCGCAAGAGGAAATTGTCGGTGTCCATCATGGCGTCCAGCGCACCTGTTGGTCATCATGGCGTCCAGCGCATCTCCGACCAAGCTTCTGCGCGTCTGGAGGCAAGCTCGTCGACAACCCGGTATATTTTGGGTCTCTCGGCAGTACGTTGCCCAATAAGAATAAGTGCCCCAAGACCTCGCAAACCACCATTGTGTGTCCCCGCCTCGGGGCTCTCTTGGAAGCTGATTCTAATGATTAGAGGGGGGGCACGAAACAGCTTGCCTCGCTCGGTGACTTCTGGCTTCTTTTATTCGGCTACGACCACGGCGTCGTGTCGCGCGGGCTCGATGCGTTTCCGCGTGTCGCCGGACGGTCGAATACCCACGAGTACGCGTGACCTCCGGTGGACAATGGGCGGGGCGGAAAAATAGTTGGAAAATGACCCAAAGCAATGATATGTGGTTTTCAGTTGTGATGATTGAGAGAGTGGCCTTTACGTGTTTGTAACAGAGACGCATTCCGCGAAGCAAAATCAAGCACAAAATTCCTCCGCGATTTGCGTGAGGACTTGCGTCGTTTGCAAGATAGACTCAGTGTAGACAAACTCCTCTTTGGCATGAAATCCTTCACCGCGCGGCCCGAAGAGAATCGTCGGGATACCGGCGTCCAGCAACAGCGCCGAGTCTGTCCAGTACGGAGCACCCGCAATCTTGGGCTTACTGCGTGTGACGCTCTCAGTGTGCTTCCGGACCAGTTGGGTCAGAGGAGCGTCCTCTGCCATGTGGAAAGGTGGTCGATCAAATGTGACTCGGAGGTCATACTGGAAGCCGGGAGTAGTGGCTGCGATCCGATCCAGTATATCCCGTATCTCGCGCTCCACAGTCGCTGGGCTTTCGTCGGCGACGGTTCTCCGCTCTAGTGTGATTGTGCATTTGGCGGGATACGACGACACCTCCTCGCCGCCCTGTATGAGGGACGCATGCGCGCTGGGCGGCCCGACGACCGGGTCGGCCTCCCTCTGCTGGAGCTGTTGCGAGTAGCGATCAAGCTCGACCAGTACATAGCCCGACTTGGAAATGGCGTCGTATCCCAAGTCCGGACGTGAACCGTGCGCGGCCACGCCGTGGACATGAATCTCGAGCCACACGAAGCCCTTGTGCGCGCGGGTAATGGCCATGTCGGTGCATTCGCTGACAATGGCGGCATCGGCTCTCCAGCCGGCGTCGAGCACATTGACGGTCCCTAGGCTCTCGAATTCTTCGTCGGCAACGGCTGTGACGACGACATCGCCAGCCAGTTGCCGTCTTTTGATGTTGGCTGCCGTGACCATTTGCGCCGCCAGACCAGACTTCATGTCAGCAGAGCCACGCCCGTACAGCTTCCCATCTTGAATTCTGGGATTCAGGGGATTGTCTTCATATCCCAGCAGAGTCACAGTGTCCATGTGGCCGTTAAGCAAAAGGCGCTTGCCGTCTCCACGGCCCTTGACCACAGCGACGACAGACGGTCTCCCCTTGACCGGTTCTATCCAGTGAGCGTCAATATCGCGATACTCGAACCACGAGCAAACAAACTTGGCAATCTCCGTCTCGCCAGGACCGGGCTCGGAGCCAAGGGCCGGGTTGGCCGAGTTGATACGAACGAGGGCTTGTGTCAGGGCCACGGGGTCATCGTCAGCGACGTCATGGGGGATGTCGTACGACCGGAGTCCTTCTGTCGAGAGCAGCACGACCGTGGAGTTGCCGTCTAGACCCAGGGCTGCCTTGTCGTCCGAGGTCAGACGCCGCAAGCCAGCCAAGGCCGCAGCACCACAGGGCCCAGCCGCCACGCCCAGCTCGTGCAACGTCTCGCAGGCTGCGTGCGCTTCAAAGTCGGAGACGGTGGCGCTGACGTCGACGCCGTGTTGAAGGACCGGCCAGGACTGCTCTGATACTGTTGAACACTCCAAGCCGGCCATGATGGTGGGTGCGCTCAGAGCAGATGCTTCTTCGGCGCGGACAAGCCTCTTCCAGAGAGAGGCGGCCGTGTCTGGCTCCACAGCCATGACTTGGGAGGACGAAGTAGGTGTCTTGTAATGTGTCACGACAGAGTGGGCAAAGGAGCCGACGCCGACGGGTACAATGACCAAGTCTGGTGTCTGGCCAGCCAATTGCTCGTCAATTTCGTGCGTCATGGTTTCGTAGCCATCCACAATCCACTAGTATCACTGTTCAGTAGGGGCAAAAATTGGTGACGGGGTGGCAAGACTGACTTGAGGCACTTGTGTATATCCAGCGAAACTACAATCTTGGATGAGGAGACCCTGCGGGTGCTGTGAAGCAACAAAGGCTTCCTGCATGGCAACATCATAGTCTCGCTTCGACACAATGACATTGGCACCCTCTTCCCGAATCAGGTTGACAACCTCTTCCTTCATGCAATACGGGACATGAATCTCGGCGGCGATGCCAAACAGCGCCGCCATGCGCGCCACGGCCCTGCCATGGTTCCCGTCGGTGGCGGCGTAGAGCGTCAGCGGGGAGTTTGCCAGGGCCTGCTGAATGGCGTCAAAGGTGGTGCTGAGCGGCAGCTCGAGGCGTGCCGTCACAGCCCTGTAGGTGCCCCACGAGGCGCCGAGGATCTTGAAGGCGGGCAGGCCGCAGCGGTCGGCCTCGTTCTTGACGTAGACGGCGCCGACGCCCGCCGCGCGCGCGACCGAGGGCAGGCTGACGAGGGCTGTCGGTGCGTAGCCCGGAAACCGCTGATGGAACCGCGCAATGTCGGGCAGATCCTGGTTCGGTGGCGCGAACCAGTGCTTTGCCCGGGGATTGAAGTGCAGCGGGCGTCGGTGCGGGGAAGAAGGCGACATGATGGGGGGAGGAGGAAGAGGAGACGAGGAGGAGGAGGAGGGGGGAGGATAGGTAAGGGGTGGTCAGTGGTGTCAATTGGGAGAACACGGCGTCGAAAAGTAAGACCGGAGCGAGGCAATATTGATGGACGAGGAAAATTGGATTTTTCTACTTTTTTTCTTCCTCTTCTCTCAACATGGCAACATGGCTCCGGATGCCCGACTTTTAAGAATGCTTTGGTGCGCGCCCTCCATGTGTTTTTTTTGGTAGATTCGCAGCGCTTAGCAGCGCCCTCTAGTAACAGCTTGTTCCGCGCCCTCTGCTGGGTTGCGGTGTTTGTGTGGGCGCTGGTTGGGGGTATATAGAGAGGGCGAGCCCACGCCGTTTTCTTTTCCAATTTTTTTTTCTTTGGCTGCGAATGCTTCTGCACTATTTCTATCGTCTGCGGTGGTTTTGTGATACTGGTATTTCGGTATTTCCAGATCGTCGCCTCAGCCTCAAACGCCAGACCCTGGTCTACGCCTCTCATCGCTGGGGTCGCAGCCCGCGGACAGCTGCGGCAGTGTGTGCACTTTGTTGCCCCGATCCAGCGAAAATTAGTCAGGCGGAAGCGACAGGCAGTGTGGGATGGCTGGATGGATGGATGGGCACTGTCGGGCGTTGATGCATGAGTCACGACAAGGACGGTGGCTGGCTGCTGCAGAGGCTGACCAAACGGGTAACAAGGCGAGAACGACTCCAACAATTTGGATACTGGATACTGACGGCTCTTTGGATCCACGACAATGGACGCCGGTTCGACGTGCGAGCTGAAATGAAGACCTTGGAGCCCCCACGTGAATCTACCAATATACCTGCGGTTAGAGACTTGAGCTCCGTATCACATTTAGAACTACTGGGAAGCTTGATCAAGCACAGATTACGGACAGTACGAATAACCAAGGAAAGCTGCGACTCCATCATGGTGGCAGGCAAAGTCAGGCTGTGTACGGAGCGCTTGGCTACACAGCAGTGGCACATGATCTGAAGGGGGCAAACCGGCTACTTTATCAGTATTGATTGCCTATCCTATCATTCGCCTTTGGAGCAATGGTCGTCGCCAAAATGGTCGGCTTCTAGAAGAGAATGCCGATGACAAGCGCCGTCACCAAGACGCTGCGATGCTCGGCGAAGCCACTACGTAGCTTGACAACCTTCCGGCGGAGGGATGGGCAGGAGGACCGGGGGGCAGAGCAGCGATCGGCGACGGGGGAAATTCCCGGGCATTGCTTTGAACTGTTTGGGGCTGGTCTGGCAAGTGGCCCTCGACCGACGCCACGCATAGTGGTGATGAGACAGCGGCACGCCACACCAAACTCAGCGCGTAGCCGGCCGCCGACAAGACGTTCAACGGCCCGTGGCCTGCAGACCTCTGGGGCCGCATGGCGGTAGGCTTTTGTGGGAATTATGGGCATTATTTTGGACGACGGGCATGCGTGGCTGGCTGGCTGTCTGGTGTCTGGGCGCTGATAACTTTGCCGAGGCGGCATGATTGGAGGCGGCGCTGCCCCGGCTTGGGATGTATGCTTTCGCGAAGAAGGAGGGATTCCATTCGCCGTTTGACAGTTTGACAGAGGTATAGGGATGCTCACCGACCACCTTGTTGGTCTTATCATCAGGCGTAGCAAGGTTGTGTCGAGCTTCGGGTCCATGCCGAGCCGCCGACGGCTGGGGTAGTTGGGTGGTTTGGCTCGCGGGATTCGTGTTCCGCTAACTAGTTACGGAGTAACATACGGAGCATGTCCGTACGAAGTCGTTGTTTACTTATTCGTTGGCACCCTGCAGATAACGTTGACCAGGCCGATGCAGTGCATGAGGTCCGTCCTGTGCCTGTGCCGACTGGCAGCAAGGTTTACTGATACAAGTTAGCAGTCTCGGCGTCTGCGCTGGCCACAACCGGCACAACCGGTTACAGGGGGGGAGAGTACGCTAGGATCCGCTAAAGGCTGTGCACCATCCACTATAAACATGCGACGTGGGGTGCGTCCAGTGCAGAGGGACTACCTAGGTACTAACCTAGTACTAAATTAACGTACTTTGGTAGGTAATACAGTGGGTGATGTGTCTTGGGACGTCTTCTTTTTTGGTTCCTATGCTTGTGGTTGTTGTTAATAAACATGATCCGTCAATGAAGTGTATGGAAGAAGAAGATTCTGGAATCCATTTACTACCTACCTCCTACCTGATAAGACCTCCTCTATCAAGATAAGATAGCAGATAGGCCTCGTCAAGATAGGGTTGGCAGCACATAAACCCCGCCAAGACTGCGCTAAAACACACTCCTCTCGAGGCACGCATCCATCAAACTCACCACTGCCACTCCCACTGCCGCTCCCACCACCCACTCCCACCGACAGACCAGCATCTCCGATTAATTATTCACCAGGCAAACAGTGCTCCATCGTTCCTGCTTAATCCTTTTGGTCAGCAGTCTCTTTCCGTCCCCCCCCCCCCGCGGGCCGGGACCGGGCTCATCCACTTGCCTCGTACATACACCTACCTCCCTCTCACACCCAATCTTGCTTGGTGACCATGTAGGCATTTCAATTCTTTCATACCCTCCTCTCTCGCGCCTCATACTCGGAGACCTTGCCTCTCTTCGCCGGTGGCGATTTCATTCTTCCTCCCTTTTTTGCTGGGATGGACCCTCTGCGCGCCGACCACGACATCTTCTTTCCGTTCAGCGATGCCGGCGCCTCTGGTCCGGCCCCGGCCATGCCCGCCGCCCACCACGCCCTGCCTCACGACAGCAGCGACGCCCTGTTGCTGCCGCCGCACCTCTTGTCGGCTGACGACGACCTGGATCCCATGTTCCTGGACCCAACCTTTCCCAACAACACCGCGGACCTGAGCCACAACTTTGACACCGTCTTCTTCGCCGCCGACCCGGCCCTCCAGCTCGACATGGACCCGGCCGGCGGCGGCTTCCTCCCCGACGCCCCCGCCCCGGCCGACGACTGGAACCTGGCTATTGGCGCGACCGAGATGGCATCGCCTCCGCCCGGCCCGGCGGCGGCAGCGGTAGCCGCTGGCAATACCGCCATCATTGACGAATTCTTTGTCAAAAACGGTGCCTACCGCCCGCCCCAGCCCTGCCTGCAGTGCAAGCGCCAGCGCCTGCAGTGCCTGATTCTGCAGACCACCGACGCCAACCCCAACCCCATCACCTCGTGCTCCAGCTGCGTTGCCCTCTTCCGCGACTGCAGCCTGGCCGAGCGCGGCAAGCGCCAGGCCTCGAGCTTCGAGACGTCGCGCCCCGTCATCGGCCATCTCCACGGCGTCAGCGAGGAGAACGACCTCGGCGACCTCGACGAGGAGCAGCCGCCGACACAGGGTGCCATCCCGCTCGCCGTCGTCACGGCCAAGCGCGCGAGCACCCGCACGGCCAAGAAGACGCGCGCCTTGGCCCACTGGTTCGCCTCCCACCTCGACCACCCCTACCCCTCCGAGGACCAAAAGGCGGACCTGGCCAGCCAGTCCGGCCTGAGCCGGACACAGGTCATCAACTGGTTCGCCAACGCCCGTCGCCGGCACAGACTGTCGGCCCAGTCGCCCTACAACAACAGCAGCGGCAGCGCCAAGATGTTTCGCCACGGCTCGCCCATGCCGCGCTCCGCCCTCGATAGCATGTCGCCCATGGAGCGTTGGAGGAACTCACCGCCCAATGACGAGCCTGCGTCTGCCTCGTCGATTGAACGGGCTCTGAACCGATCGCCGCTAGAAGCCTCGGACTATTTTGGCAGCTACGGCAGCGGGAGGGACGGTTCCGCCTCGTCGGCCAGCGGCGACTCTGGCACCTACCGTCGCTGGTCGTTCCACAGGGCGTCCTCGACCAGTTTTGGTGGCTCGGCACATTCGCAGCAGTCATCGGGTGACTTTCGATTTGTGCCCTACTCGGCCAACAACTCGGTCGACGGAGACTCCATTGGAAACAAGAGCCCGACTGTGGGCACGCGCAGGAAGAACACGACGTTCCAGTGCACCTTTTGCCTGCAAAGCTTCCGCAAGCGATACGACTGGGTGCGGCACGAGCGGTCCATCCACCTGCCCGGCCTCGATTCGTGGATCTGCCGGGTGCCGCTGCCGCCGGACCAGTCGTTTCTCGTGTGGCGCGTGAACCAGACGCACCCGGAGTGCATCTTTTGCGGCGCGCCGTCGCCGACGCACGACCACATCCAGTCGCACGAGTTCCAGACGTGCGCGGAGCGGCCGGCGTCGGAGCGGACGTTTACGCGCAAAGACCACCTGTGGCAGCACCTGCACAAGTTTCATCACTGCAAGAAGTGGGAGGGTTGGAAGCCGGACCTGGCGCTGCTCCAGCACAAGCAGGACAGGCTGCAGAGCCGGTGCGGCTTCTGCAACGTGACGATGAGCAGCTGGGAGGAGAGGGCGCAGCACCTGGCCTCGCACTTTCGACGGGGGGCGACGATGACGGAGTGGTCGGGGGGTCCGGGCATTCGGTTGCCGTCGGAGGAGAAGGCGATTGGCAAGGGGAAGAGTGGATGACGATGTGGGATGAATGCTGGGGAATAAAGTCCTTGGATGAATGATGGGATACAAAGATACAAGAACCTTGAATGAATGATGGCATACAGAGATACAACGATACCAAACTAATACAACTTGCAGTGCTATATATAGTATTTGACGACTTTTTGAGACGTAGTCTTGTTGTCTAATATGGCTGAAGAAGACAAATCATAAAACACATATAGTTTAGTTGTTGGGCAGATAGACGCAAAACTCCAATCCCTGGCTGAATGGCAACGTCATGGTGATGAAGCCGCTCTCCGGATTACGCATATAGGTCAGCATCTCGTCGTATCCTTCCGACACGGCCGTGTTGTCGGCAATGACAATGGCGCCGCGGCGCATCTTTTGCTGCACAATCTTGAGCGTGGGCAGAGCCATTTCGGTCCAGACTAGAACAAGGGGTCGTGCCGTGTTAGCCAGCGCGCGTTCTGCCCGCCCAAGCAAAGAGCGGGACCGAGTTTTTCTTTCTTACTATCCAGCAGCAAAAGATCGACCTCGTCAAGGTCCTCCTTGAGCGTCTCCCGCAGGTCCCCCTCGCGGAGGTCAATGGCACCGGTGACGCGGTCGCCGCACTGGGCCCAGTACTCTCGTGCGCGCGCGGCCTTGGTCGGCTCGTGCTCGGTCGCGACGACGCGAGGCTTCTTGCCACCGGCGGCGGCGGCAGCGTTGGCGGCGGCGGCGAGGGCCAGGTAGATGGTGCTGACGCCAAACGAGGTGCCTGCCTCGACAATGGTGCGGGCGTCGGTGGCGCGGCACAGGGCGTACACGTACTGGCACTTGTCGCGGTCGAGGGCGATGAACTTGTCGCGCACGGCCGTCTTGTTGGCCGCGTCGCTGCTCGCGCCGACAAAGACGGACCGGTCCATGTCCTTTTCCTGCGCGAGGGACTCGGCGTGCAGACGGTCGAGCAGGGCGAGGATGTGCGGGGGGACGCCCTCCATGGGGTTCTGTGGGGGGCGTGAGGAGACCATTTTTTGTTCTTTTTATTGTCTTTGTTTGATGGAGGACTTTTCTGCGGCTTCAATAGAGTTTGAATTCCCGTTGTTGCTGGTTGATGGTGTAAGTGGAAAGTGAAGTGGTTGATTGCGGGGTTGACCGACGGACTTGGTCGGCTTCTCGCGCTACTTGTATACTGACCACGATGACTTGTGCCTTGCTTGTTCAATGCGATGAGCCGAGGATAAACTTTGCCTAGGGCGGAATTATTGCGCCCTCTCTGAACAGCTATAAGTGCCGTCTTTTCTACAATGGCGCCCTTTGCCAGTCAAACCCCGTACGGGCACAAGTCGGACATGGCACCGGTGCCGGGGCTGAAATTGCCGGGGCCGGGGTCTGGCCGGTTGTCAGCCGCTTGCTGTGGTGTGAATCATAATGCAGCGCCGGTCTCGGATTTAATTCAGCGTGCGGTCGACGACTGTAACTTTTTTCTTTGCAAGTTGGGACCGCAGCGGCTGCCGGCCTCGGCCATGCTTTATTCATGACCTGGTCTTGTCATGTCGGCCGTATCCTCCTTACGACAGCAGTTCTTTTATTTAAACTTTTAAAAATAAAAATAAAAAAAAGTCGCGAACTCATAACCTCCTCACCATCCGCCCCAATGTGGCACCTTTGCTTGGTTCGGTTCTCCGGCTGAAGCCGAGCAAGCACCTCGTTGGGCTGACTCCCGTGGGCCTAGGACAAAAGTTCCCGCATCCACTCACAAGGGTCTAAAACTCGTTGCTCATTTTTTTTAGCCTTGTTAGAATTAGGAAAGGTTCATTCGCCAGACCTGGAGTTTTGGTATATCCATAGCTCGAAAGCTTATCAGATCATCTGATAAGATGCCTGATGCCGCAGATGCTCCCCCGCCTCCCGCATGCCTCACTTTGCAAGGGGTGGCGTGTGTCTTCGTGGAACCATGTAATCTCCCAATCCAATTTCTAACCAACCGTTCACATGTTCCCTGTACTTTTGTTGCCTGGGTCGCCCCGTCCCTTTCGAGGAAGCCGTTGGCCGTGGCCATTTGTACACTGTACCTCGTAACGAACACTGCCAAGTCGGATATAAACGGCCACAGTACCCAGCACACACACAAATTGTTTACTCGCCGGGCCGGAATCATTTTTTGATACATGGGCGGGGTCAAGGATTAGGCACGTAGCCTTTTTTCTTTCTTCTTTCCCGTCGTCGTCGTCCTGTGGCCCGTCTCTCTTCTCTCCCCCCTCCCCGGAGCCTCTGGTCATTGTCATAGTACGCGAAAATGAATTATGCAAGTATGCAGATGGTGCCTTTTGCGTCGCCGGCGCCGCTGGTAGGGTCACTACGAACCGATGTGTCCCTCGCGAACCGCCGACAGCCGCGGCAGAAGAAGCAGAAGAAGCCGAAGCGGAAAGACACTCGTCACGTCGAGGCCGACGATGTCATTGCACCGGTTCCTCTGAGCGCCCGCGTAAGCGGCGCGAAACGGCTCTACGACGACGACGAAGACGAAGAGGACGACGATGTGAGTCTGTACGAGTTTGACAAGGATGCGGCGATACACCACCAGCAGGCAGCAGCAACCGCTGCGTCGCCGCCCGGCGTTGAAAAGATGCAGCACGTCACCCGCTCATGGACACCGACGACCGTGCTCATCGCCTGGGCAGGCATGATGCTGCTCGCCATTGCGCTCAGCCTCGACAGCCTGACGGTCCCGTCCTACCAGCCCTACGCGCTGTCCGAGTTCCAGTCGCATGCGATGCTTCCCGTCCTCGGCACGCTTCAAAGCATACTGTGAGTTTTTCTCCTTCTTTTCTTTTGTCCCCCCCCTCCCCCACACCCGCACAACACAGCCCAGCTCACCACCGCATCTCAGAAACGCGGCGGCCAAGCCCGTCGCCGCCAAGATTGCCGACGCCGCCGGCCGCGCCGAGGCGCTGAGCGTCTCGCTCGCGGTTGTTGTGCTGGGCCTCGTCGTCCACGCCGCGGCGCGGAACCTCGGCGCCATGACGGCCGGCCAGGTCTTCTACGCCACCGGCCAGGCGGGCGTCGTGTTTGTGCAGCAGGTTCTGGCCGCGGACACGACGACGCTGGCGAACCGCTCGCTGCTCGGCGCGCTGCTCGGCGCGCCGCCCGTCTTCACGGCCTGGGTGGGCGGCACCGTGGTCGAGGCCCTGGTGCCGGCTCATTGGCGCTGGTAAGTCGGGAATAACGGACCAAGAAGACTAATGTTTTACTGATTTTGTGATTGTGGAAAAAAAACAGGGGATATGCCATGTGGTAAGAGAGGCAACCCGACTGAACATCCTGAGCCCGGACTGATGACTCTGCGTTAGGGCGATTATCGTGCCTGTCGTGTCTATCCCGCTCCTCGTATCCATCTGGCGTCTCCAGATCACACGACCAAAGGTACCGGACGGGAGTGCCATGGATGGTTTCATCGCAAAGTGGGCGCAGGCAGATGTCCCCGGCCTCGTCTTGTTCGTATCCGGCCTCGTGCTGCTCCTGCTGCCCATGACACTCGCTGTCCGCTTCGACAGCGGCTGGACCTCGCCGCACATTCTCGCCATGCTCGTTGCCGGCACCGTGAGCTTCACCGGCTTCGTCTTGTACGAGATGCACGTGGCTCGCTACCCCATCTTGCCTGTCCGCCTCGCCAGGAGCCGGACCGTTGCGGCCGGGTGTCTGACCGAGGCGCTCGTCTTCCTGAGCTACTACATCTGGCAGCCGTACTTTTACTCGTTCCTGGTGGTCGTCCACGACTTGTCGCCAAAAGCGGCCACCAATATCCAGACGTCGCACGTCGTTTCTGCCGCCGTGGTCGGTCTCGCGGCGGCATTTGCGGTCAAGTACACAGGCAACTGCAAATGGGTGGTTGTCGCGGGCACCCTCGTCAAGCTGCTGGGCGGCGGGCTCATGATGCGGTACTCCAGCGCTGAGGCGACGCTGGCTCAGATAATCATAGGCCAGGTCATTGCTGGCGGAGGGTCTGGCATGATTAGCATTGTTGCGCAGACTGCTGTTCAGTCCGTCGCCAGCCACCAAGGCGAGTGTGAACCCTCAAACAAACTCGGGCGCCTACTGACATTATGTTTTCAAGATGTTGCCAACGTGACAATGTTATACGAAGCGGCCCGAGCCATTGGCGGCGCCATAGGAACCGCCATATCGGGCTCCATCTGGACGAGTGTACTGCTTGCCAAGCTGCAAGCACATCTCCCAGAGGCGTCCAAGTCCAACGCCGTTGATATTCAAAATTCGTTTACCCTCGCAATGTCTTTTGCCGTGGGTAGCCCCGAGCGCGTGGCCATTAACCAGAGCTACACCGAGGTCATGTATGTTTTGCTCGTTGCCTCTATCGCTTTTCTGGCTGTTTCATTCTTGGTGTCATTGGCCATGGAAGACGTCAAGTTGAAAGAAATCGACCGAGATGGTGCCCAAAGCGGTGTCATTGGCCGTATCAACTTTGGAGAATGGTTCAAGAAAAGGTTGGCAGGCAAATAAGCGAGAGAGTCTTGAGCTTGTCGCTGTCCTGCTCACTCCAGGGCTGCCTCAAAGGTTGTTGAATTTGACGGAGCAATAATACATGTACATTCACCTGGGACCAGATAACAGAAACATAAATGGTGAATTACGCACTACTACTAATAACATACCCCATACCACGCGTTCCTCTAAGCCTCGTCGTCTCCGAGCTCCGCATTCACCTTGACGAGGACCTTGCCGCGCGCATGCAGCCCGGCCAGGTGCGCATACGCGGCCTGCGCGTCCTCAAACGGCCAGACGCTGTCGCGCACGACGCGGACCTCGCCGCGGCCGAGCAGCCCGACGATGCGCTGCCTGTCTTCGAGCGTGGGCTCCATCATGGAGACGCCGCGCCAGAGCCGGCCGACGCCGCCGAGCCAGCGGCTCACCGGCCACCACTCGTTGAGCTTCATCTGCACGACGGCGCGCAGGAAGTGGGGGACCGCGAAGCTCGGCGGCTTGATGCCGGCCGACGAGTAGACGCCGCCGGGGACGAGGTACGCCGGCGAGCCGAGATAGAGGGACTGGTGTCCGAGCGTGTCGATGATGGCGTTGAAGGGTCGGTTCCCGAATACGTCTGTGAGATGGGCGGGGAGACGATCATGTTTCGTGTAGTCAATTACCTGGAGCGCATTATTAGCATCAACTTGGGACCCAAGCTTAATAACAGTGCGATGGGCAAGCTTTCTGTACCTCGTCTGCCCCGAGGCTTTTGACCAGCTCGACATTCTTCCCGCTGCATATGCCCGCGACGTACCCAGCGTCGCCGACAATATTGCGCACCATTTGCACCACCATGGTTCCGATGCCGCCGCTGGCCGCATTCACAAGCACCCGATCGCCCTCCTTGGCGCCAGACTCGTGCACCTGCTGCCACGCCGTCATGCCCGCCAGCAAGCAACCGGCCGCGTCGCCGAAGCTGACGCTGTCCGCCTTGCGCGCGACATACTTGGCCGGCACCGCGACGTACTCGGCCAGCGCGCCAGTGCCGGTGGCGAGGGCGTGGCTGGCCGACAGCATAGCAACGACCTTGACTCCTTTGCTGAAACGAAACGGCTTCGGCGTGGTGCTGCTGGTGCAGGTGCCGCTGCCAGCCGCTGGTGGTTCCGGATGCCACACGTCCTCGACGACGCCCGAGAGGTCCATTTCCGGAACGCACGTCTTGGTGCGCAGCATTTGTGGGATGAGCGTCATTTGAAAGATGGCGCCGACGTTGAGCCCGACAAAGGCCGTCTTGATGAGCACCCATTCCTCGGGTACGGGCGCATCGCGGGGCAGCGGCAGACGCGGCGGCAAAGTCGGCTTCTCGAGCGTGGTAAACTGTAATACGTTGGAGGGGTCGCCTCGTTCCGTAAAGACCCAGGCGCGCATGGTTGTTGTTGTCTCTGTCATGTTGTCACCGTGAATAGCTGTCATAACTGTCGTCTAGAAAAAAAGACAACGGCGTAGCTGGTAGCTGGTTGTCCTATATACATACCACACAAGGTGAGGCTGAGACGGGGCTAACATCTGGCCTCTTCCCAGAACGCCTCGTGGTTGCTTCAGCCGCCACGTTTTCTTCGTCTGTTCAATTAAAGTGCTCGATTAGGTATTCATTGTGAGTGGGCCGAATGTTTTGGCTGCGACAGACACCACAGGTCCGAGCTGGATACGAATCGGACTTGGCTAGGACAATCTAGGCTGGATTGCGGCGTTGCGGCCATCGAACTTCTCATCTGGGCATCGAAAGGCTTCCTCGATCCATTCAACTCCAGGCTTCCACGTTTGCATCTAGAAGGACAGCCTCGCCCGCCCGGGCTGCTTGCGGGCCAGAGCTGGAAAACTGTTCTTGGCATGGCGCGCCGCACCATAAATAAGAACGGCGCGTCAAGGCTGGGAACTAACGCAAGCTCCAGGACCATGATTCATGACGACGACAGTTGCTCCTTTCTTTTCCCCATTTGTACCTTGTCCATCGACGAGCGTTGCGTTGCCGCTCGCGGCTCTTTCAAAGCCGCAGCTCGATGCTGCCATGTTGCCGCAAAACTCGCCACAAGGAAGCAGGCCAAGGCACCACGCAAACATGCTCTGTCTAGCGCCTCGGCGTACCTGACTGTTGCCCCTATCACCGTGGTCCATTGTTTAGGCGTTGATTATGCTTATCCACATAAGCGTCTTGGCTGTTTGCCGCCGAGCGTGGCTGCCGATCCTTCACGACCAAGTGCAAAGGTATTTCCAGCGACAGGCCGACATGGTACCAGTAGTATACCAATATCCAGAATATACAGACTTTATGGGAAAATTCTGTCAATTGTATCAAAAAGATACAAGAGCAAATCGCTGCCTCTTCGCTAGCTCGCTCGACTTGCTGCTGAACTGCCCTACCAACACAGATAGACTTTCAGTCCATCAGTCATGGACTTTTGCCAAGATTGTTTCATGGAGCTTTCAACTTTCGACAAAACAGGGGCAGAAATGTCGCCTTACTGGCCCAGATATTGATCAATTGGATGAGGTCCTTGGTCAGAATATGCCCCTTTGCCAAGAAGCCTTCTCCGCTCCTTCCTTGCAGCTTCCCATGTCATCATCATCGGCCAAGACAGCCTTGTCCAGATGGCCGTTTCGCCTTAAAAAGGTCGCATGCCCCCGCGAAACCTCACGGCCTTGGACCAGTCTATCATTGTTTTTGTATCTCTTAACCTTGCCATATTTATAGAACGGCATTGAAGCGGTCCCTCCCGTCGACAACCCATGCGCCTCGTCTTCCGCCACCGACGCCTGCTTCCTTAGCAGCACCCAGCAATCATGGGCACCTTTGCCAAACTCGGCCACATCATCGCGCCCAAGAGCAGCCAGTCACCCGACGGCCGCGACCAATGGCCCTCGCGCGCCGCCTTCCTCCTCGCCTCCATGGGTGGCTGCGCCGGCATGGGAAACCTGCTGCGCTATCCCAGCCAGACCTTCAACAACCACGGCCTACAGTGGTTCATCCCGTACTTGATGTGCGTCTTCCTCATCGCCATTCCCGTCCTCGTTCTCGAAATCGCCATCGGCCAGGCCTATCGCGGAGGCTGCGTCGTCGCCTACAACAACATCAACCACCGTCTCAAGGGCACGGGGCTCTCGCTCATCTTTGTCGGAACCGTCGTTAGTCCGTATTTCGTGGTCAACTTGGCCTGGATCATGAAATACTTTCGCCATTCCTTTCAGAGCCCCCTTCCATGGACGGGCCGCAGCGACGAGTTTTATATGCAGGATGTCGTGGCCAATGTCGACCCGATTCCAGGCGCCTTTTCCGCTGACGGATCATCCGTCACACAGTACGTCCAGTACCCTGGCGTGGCTGTCATTGGCGAGACCGTTGGCTGGGCCATTTTCACCTGGTTTCTAGTTTGGGTTTCCATTTTTCGCGGTGTCGGCTTGACGGGCCGCGTCGTCTACTTCACAATGGGTCTTCCAATCGTCGTCACTTTTATCCTCATCGGCCGTTCTCTCTCGCTCGACAATGCCGCACGCGGTGTTCGATACTTTTATGCTACCTGGAACGGCAGCCAGCTGGCCAAAGGCACCATCTGGCAGACGGCATGCGGCCAGGTCTTCTTCTCAACCGGCGTTGGTTTCGGCTATTTCACGTCCTACGCATCCTACAACCAAAAGTACTCCAACGCCGTCATGGATTCCATCATGATTGTTAGCAGCAACGTCTTGTTTGAAAATGTCGCGGCCTTTATCGTCTATGGCGTAATAGGCTTCCTCGGTATCGTACCTGGTGGAGGAGAGCGACTCGGCAGTTTCGTTGTGGGCTTCATTACGCTGCCCACAGCCGTCACGCAGATGCCCGGTGCCAACTTTTGGGCCGTCATGCTCTTCTTCACTCTCATGGTTCTTGGATATAGCTCAGCGTTTGCCATGGTCGATGCTATCGTCACCTTGATCATGGATGCGCACCCGCGTTTCAACCGGGCTTGGGTAGTCACTGCCGTCGTCATTACATTCTTTTGCCTGACCCTGCCGTACTGCACCGAGTTTGGGTTCTATTTGCTCGACGGCGTGGATCGATGGATCAACGACGTGGGCCTAGTATTTGTCGTCTGGGCTGAATGCGTCACATCAACCACCTTGTATCGTTGGCGAGACGTTGTCGGCCAAGTCGGCCTGCCGGCTTTCCTGACCTTCAATGGAGGCTTCTTCGGAGGCATGGTGCTTGGCGTTACCATTGCCCAGGCTGTGTCTCCGGTCGCTGGTGCAGGTGTAGGTTTTGGGATTTTCCTCGCGGGTCTGGTTGGAGCGGTGCTGCTGGGAAAGACGCCAGATGCAGCAGCTCCAAAGTTGTGGAACAAGAGCGTCGTGAGCTCGCGCATCTGGTTTATTGCGTTTTACTCGGTACGTATGCTGTATAGCCAAATGACATGACAATGCTAATCAGGGGATGCAGGGCAATCAGCTTCGTCGGGATTTGAACGAGATTGTCGGGCAAGGTAGAAACTGGAAGATTCCCGCATTCTGGGCACCGCTGGTTCGCTACATTGCAGCGCCGACATTGTCGATTGTGTACAGCTTCTCATACCCGTCCTTCTATGAGCTGCGAAACGATCCGCTTCATATATTCGGGTTTGCAGTTGGTCACATTGCTCTAGTACTCATCGGCGCCGGTTTCATTGCGCCGCGCTGGTTCGACATGTTGATTCCACCGCCGCGACGTAACGAGGGTCATCATGACTTTGGAGCCAATGCTTTGGTCCCTGCTGACGATGTAGCATCGACTAGCAGTGTGGAAGCTGGAAATAGCAGCGATCAAGAAGCGAAGAAGCGCAGTGTCTAGAGAAGTGGCACTATCAATGAAGTGAGATGACAAAAACAGGTGATGGATCATGCGGCCTGAGAAGTGGTCTGCAGGAGAATCCACGTGGCGTGACTAGAGTTTGTGGGGGCAAGCTTAATAAAGCAGGTGGCGTAGACACTGAGCTTGAGTTGGCTGGCAAATGACGTGGTTAGAGTTTTCTTGCTGCCACAAATAATTACTTCTTGATGGTTGCTGGTGATTGTGAATGATTGTTGATGTACGTTGATGGACACCTCTATACACGGTGACCATTTATGAACCCTACAAGGTTTACGTATGAGCTTGAAGTTGCCACGAAAAATGACTACTAATCCCTGCGCTTTGATTGGCTCGGCCGAAGACGGAGGTCCACTTTGCAAAAGCCGCTGAGCCGAGCACTGAAGAGAGCCCTGTACAGCGCTGAGAGGTGCACATGTACCTCATTACTAACCGCTTGTACCTACTCAACTACTCTCTCCGACCACTGCCGAGTTCCCAACCAAGTTCCATCATCAACATAATTTTGCAATCGACAACCAACGAACGACATGCGCCAGCCTTGCTCATAATCCCTTCCTTGAATTGATAGCAGCCCATTCTCCTATGGTCCAGCTGCCATGAACGCCCACGTCTTCCTCGGTCGTGTCGCCGCCGCCCGCCACGCCACCTCCCGCCTGGCCATCCGACAATTCTCAACGTCGAGGTTCGCGTGCGCCGCCTACCACTCCTACTCCCTGCCCACGCCGCGCTCCTCCGCCGACGCCCGCCCCGACGAGCTCGTCGAAACCTCTATTGCCTACCCCGAGGCCCTGCCCAGGGTCCACGAGACGCGGCCGCCGCCATCCTCGCCTGCGTCGCCCACACCTGCCGCTGCGCCATCACAACCACCGGCACAAGCCGCCGCCGCGCCGGCATCATCACCATCGCCGATGGCGCAGCAGCAACCTGTAACTGCTGCTGCGCCCGCTCTCGAGAAGCAGCCACAAAAGGCCAAGCCCACGAGGCCGCGATCGAAGCTGCGGCCGCGCAAGGCGGCCATGAAGCTGACGCCCGCCGCCGTCGAGCAGCTGCGTAACCTGCTGGACCAGCCCGAGCCCAAGCTCATCAAGGTCGGCGTGCGCAATCGCGGCTGTAGCGGACTGGCGTACCACTTGGAATTCGTCGACAAGCCCGGCGCCTTTGACGAAACGGTCGAGCAGGACGGCGTCAGGGTCCTCATTGACAGCAAGGCGCTTTTTAGCATTATTGGCAGCGAGATGGACTGGGCAGAGGACAAGCTGAGCCAGCGATTTGTTTTCAGAAACCCAAACATCAGTAAGTGCTACTGGGACATCGACTTTCTTGACGACTGCGTACTAACTGCGCAACAGAGGAAGAATGTGGCTGTGGCGAGTCTTTTATGGTATAGAAGATGCCGGAGTCGATTGACTACTGTATATTTATCATCGACCTTCGCGAAATCGATGCTTGAGCGATCCAATATATGAATCGCATTGAGCATGACGATATACCGCTACTCAAGCGATGGTGCTAGCAGGGGACGATAGCAGTGGAAGAACCATTAAACGGCGTAATGAGGCGTTATTTTGACTATTGGCATATCATTATTCATCTTAGATCATGCACCGAATACATTTCATATTTATATTCCTATTCCTATCTATATCGGCCCTTCAATAAAACTTGTGCGCCCGCAATGCAAGACACCAGAGCATGCTACATGAAGAAGAGTCCCGGCAACACGTCCAACAGGAGCTCCATCTGGAGCGCTGCTACACACGGGAAAAAGCACAGCTGCAAATTGTCGGCTCGCTTTCAGGTGTGCTGCCTGGTCCATGTCGCGTACTCGTACGTCATGCTCTCCACGTGGTGGCCGAGCCGGAGCAACGACTTGCATATGATTTCTTGGTGTTGTTTGGCTCGTTGAATGGGTTGAATGGGACGATAGATATGCCCATCATTTACAGCGGCCAGCCGGTAAACTTGTCCAAACAATCTTGCGATGCCTGCTCCGGCTCCCAGATGCCTCGCAGCGAGGTCACGAGTCTGAGGGTAAGTCCTCTGGGAAATGTTATTCCTTCCGCCGCTTCTCCCACCAATAGGAAGACCCCATCGTCTAGAAATAGATATCTCTAACAGCTCCGTCCGTCACAGCGGTGCACATTTCCTACCTAGGGATGCACAAGTCAAAAATTACGAAATTCAGCTTTTCCGACGCAAAGGGTGCGGTGACTTGTGTACTGATCCGTTTCCTTTTTGCACCACGTCATCTGGAAGCCAGCTTACATGTTTCTTGTTGAATCTATGTCTTGGGGGCTGAAAGGTACCGCATGGTATAAGAGAAGTTGACTATGCCGGAGAAATTCACCAGTCGATCCTGGCGATAGGCGATTGGGTTCATGCCCCCAGACTGGATACCTGTACCTACTGTGTGCTGCGGAGGGCCCAGAATAGGAAATGGCAGCAGAGCGGTCTTCGTCCCGTCGAGGAGGGTTCTCCTGTCTGCCCACCGGTGGCTGTTCGGCGAGTGAGTCAAAGATTCGAAACCAGGCGGACAGACGGTCAAGGCGAATTCCAGTACACTATATCACTCAACGATTGGACATCAAAGTCGCCAAAGTGTCGTATATTGTCCGTTGTCGCTGAGTGGCAGCGGGTCTGCACACCCACTGTCGAGAGTTTGTAGAGTGAAAGAGTCGGCCCGTTTCTGCGCTAAAGGCGCCGCAACGAGCCACTGGAGCCATTTTTTATAGTCCACTTTCTAGGTACCTCTAGTACAGGTAAGGACTGCACTGCGATTTCAGGATGTATGTACAGCGAAAGGGCTCAGTGGGGGTGTCTGTTGGGGGTTACAATGGGCCCTGCAGATCTGGAAGCTGCTGTAAACGTGGTCGAGGTGGCAAGCCAAGGTACTTGGAAAATCTAAGAGTTATATGATATAACTAGTCTAACCGAGATATTTTACCTAGAAATTTGCTTTCATGGCGATTGCGTGGTGGTTTTCATGTACACTCACGGCCCGCTGTACGAGCGCCAGCGACAACGCCTCCACTGCGTACAGCGGTGACGTTTCCGTCGTCATAAGTCGCGACAAGCTTTTTACCTCTCTGTGGCCATCTGAAGCTTCGTATATAGGGGAGACTATCTCCCTACTCTTTAAAATCCTCTCATCAACGTAATTACACGTTGCAAAACACCGTACACAGACAAAATGGCTACCAAGACCTTCAACGTCGGCGTCATTGGATATGGGTAAGTCAACCGCGACAGCATCCCACCACAACCCCTCCTCCTCCCCCTCCCCTCCACCATCCTCCCAGAGTCGCATCACGGACTGCTCAGCAACAGCTAGCCAGTGCCCCCTTCACAGCATTCATCCTCACACCAGACCATCCAAGTTTTCGAAATATATCCCTCATTCCCAGCAATGGCTAACCCGCGCCGCCCAGCATGTCCGCCAAGGTCTTCCACATCCCCTTTATCACCACGACACCGCAGTTCAAGCTACACGCCATCGTCCAGCGCAGCCCCAAGGACGGCAACTCGGCGCCGGCCGACCACCCAGCGGCGAAGCACTACACCGATGCGCAGCAACTCCTCGCCGACGCCGCCGTCGACGTCATCGTCGTCACCACGCCGCCCGACTCGCACTTTGCGCTGACAAAGGCCGCGCTCGAGGCCGGCAAGCACGTCCTGACGGAGAAGCCGTTTGTGCCGACGTCGGCCGAGGCCGACGAGCTGATTCGCCTCGCGCGCGCGCACGACCGCCTCATCTGCGTGTACCAGAACCGCCGCTGGGACTCCGACTTCCTCGCGGTGCGGCACCTGCTGGCGCAGGGCACCCTCGGCCGCGTCCTCGAGTTCAACACGCACTTTGACCGCTACAAGGCCGCCGCCGCCACCAACTGGAAGGGCGCGCTGGGCATCCCGCAGGGCGGCAGCGCGCTGTTTGACCTCGGTACGCACCTCGTGGACCAGGCCTACGCGCTCTTTGGCCTGCCGCAGTCGGTCCACGGCCGCCTGCAGTCCCAGCGCGCCGGCCAGCCCGACTTCTTCAACCCCGACGCCGTCGTCGCCGAGCTCACCTACCCGGACGGCAAGCTCGTCCACGTCCGCATCAGCGCGCTGAGCGCCGAAATCGACCAGCTGCGCTTCTGGGTCCGCGGTGACAAGGGCAGCTTCCGCAAGCTCGGCCTCGACCCGCAGGAGGACCAGCTGAAGGCCGGTGGCAAGCCCTCCGATAAGGGTTTCGGTAAGGATAAGCCGGAGAGCATGCGCCTGACGGTGGTGGACGCGGACGGCAAGGCCTCGGTCGCCCCGGTCCCCGACCTGAAGCCTGAGACGTACACGACCTTTTACCACGCCTTTGGCAAGGCGGTCGAGTCTGGCAAGGAGGCAGACGTGCCTGTCAAGGCCACCGAGGCCCGCGACGTCCTCCGCATCCTTGAGGGTATCCTCGAGAGCGCCAAGTCGGGCAAGGATGTCACCTTTTAATTTAAATATCGAGGCCGCAGATCGTTCGATGGGAGGGCAAAGCGTCAATATTGTACATGATCTGAGTAAATTATGAGTATTATTTTGAAGAGACGAATTTCAAAGTTCAATTGTCGAAAGCAAAGTGCTTTTCATTTGGCTCAATGGTTGCTGCTGCGCAACGATGACAGATTGCACGGTAGAGAGTTGGTGTCTGTGTGGTCGCATCTTCAGGACTTCCAGCGCGCTCTATGGTCGCCGCAAGGATGCAACGAGCGACCGTTTTTACTGGCCGCAAATGCTGTCATGATGACGAACAAAGAAGCAGATGGTACGCTAGCGGACGCTGCGATATATTGGCAATTGCCGGCGGAAATACTTGTTCAACCTGTATGTGGACGCTCTGCGGCCGCAATCCCCTGTCTCCTGTGACACCGCAATCATGACGCTAAGGTACGGCAGCCTATAGGTAAGTTATCGCCAAATCCCAATTCACACCTAGTATACAGTTAGATATAAAATAATATATATATAAGTAGGCTATTATATTTTTTAGATATATATTATTCTTATAATAAATATAGGTTATTCTTATATCTAAATATAGCTACTTTACTTAATATATTTTAGTTTTACTTTATATAATATATTATATAAACCTTTCCTCTTTCTTTTTAGCTATTAATTCTATTAGTCCCCCCCCCCCTTTCTTATATATATATATATATATATACCTTTATATATAGTTAAATATATATACCTTATTATATATATATACTAATCTAAGTTTTTATAACTAGATTAGTTTTATATATTCTTATATATTCTTATATTATTTTTATACTAATTTATATTATTAATAATAACCTTTATATACCCTTATATACTCTTATACTATATTAAGTAAAGTTATTACTATTTTAAAGAAGATATTACTTATAATATATACTATAACTTTAAAACTTAAGGTATATATTATTCTATACTATCTTATATATATAATACTTATAATACTAATTATATAAAATATAGCTTAAGTATATACTTATATTAAAAATAGTATTTAATTAAGTATATAAACTTATAATCCTTAAAACCTTAATTAAATACCTATAAGTCTATAAAGTAGTATTTAAATAACTTTATAAAATAGTTTAAAAAGGTATAATTAGTTATAAATAGTATTATAATAACTATAGTTATTTTATAAAATATATACTATTTATATAGCTTTCTAAAGGCTATACTAACTATTACTATAACTAATATAC